TTAATGTTTATGAATACTAATTGACTAAAGTAACACCCTAAAATATGAAACTACACATTTTCATCCCTTTGTTTACATTCGGGCTACAAATCTTTTTCCATCTACACGTGAACTATGTTTGAATCATCAAACAACCTACAACACACTTAACGCAGTAGAACATCGTAAACAAGCGAATAAAAAAAGAAAATGTGCAGTGAGGCCACTTCAAATAAACTAAACAATAACTGTCAGCACAAACATTAATGCTGCTTGACTGATTACAACTACTCACTCACATAAACATCGCAGACTGTATAATAGCTCGCTTCAGAAGCACAATTTCTAGTTAACAGCTTGCATCACTGAATGATTCTGGACTTTGCACAAAAAAAAAATCATTTTGTAGCTTCCTAACAAATCCGCACATTCCTGAAAGCCCTGATAATAAACAGAAGGCATAATGTTTATTATCTGTTGATATATCCCCGGGCTCTGCTTTCCTCTTAAACAAGAGGAATGGTGCTACAAAGCTAATGCATGTGTCTACTCCAGCTATTAAAAAGAGATCACAGAATGTGACTCAACCAGGACACATAAACACATAGACAGGGTGGTCCACCATGCTCCTGGCAGTGTCTGTGCGCATGTAAGTGTGTGTGTGTGTGTGTGTGTGTGTGTGTGTGTGTGTGTGTGCGCTTGTAGTCTTTTCCCAGAAATGTACAACAGTAAACAGACTAAGAGGCAGAGAAGTAACATTACCATTACTGGCTGGGAGCATAAACAGTGACAAACAATGCAACACATACTTCCATCTTTTTATGTTTGTTTGCATGTACAACCGCAAACTGCATGTCCTCGGCATATCTCAGTGGATGAGACAGGAAAATAAGAATAAAAATGCAGACTCAGAGGTAACCATAGGATCCCACGAGAGATGCCCTTCTTGGTCTGGGAGCCTCTGGATGTTCCCCCCGGGGGTGGGGGTGGGGGCTCAAGGGCCCCAACCCCTCGCTCTGTCTTCCCTGATACTAACCAGACGCAGCCGCGCAAACACATTCAGGGACAGGGGGCATGTTCTGTGTGTGTATATACCAGAGAGAGAGAGACAGCAACCAAGAGGCAGACATCTACAGGGAGAAGGGGGGTACAGAAGAGGAGACGGAGGGAAAGATGAGACATTAACACAGAAGCAGACTGCACCCAGCTTTAACTCTCAGCTTAGGGCAGTTTGACAACGTTTTCATATCCGCCTCTCGGTCTCTCCCTCGTAAAGAGAGCGATTATACGTCCAGGACGATCCCACATTAAACAAACATTAGTTCTCTCTCCACAGCCAGGCTCGGCCAAATTGCATTGTTTCCAGATGCCTGTCACAAAAACACGCTTTAACCCACCCCAGGGCCCTCTCCTCCCCTCGTCAGCTCTCTCCTCTCCTCTGTCTCTCCTTACAGCTACCTCAGCCTCCACACCTCCCCAAGTTAAGGCGAGGGTTTGTGAGTAACACCAGGGCAGGCTGCTTTCAATTACGCCGCCACATCCGCTACTACCGCAGGAGCAGATGAGAGCCGGCGATGGAGGAAACAAAGGAGCCGGCATAATGAGACAGCAGCCCTTCCTTCAGATGTCACATCTCTCAAAACCAATGACGGGCTTTAGCTGGCGTGTAAGGTCACGTTAAGTGGCCAGACATGGAAAATTAGGAAGGAATTTCAACTTAACATTAAAACTATTAAAAGAAAAAATGGCTATACTTTATACTTGTTCATATACAATTTAAGGCCTCAGAGCAGCTTTGTGTCAGTTTCATATATTATTTTCTGCATAAACCAATGTGAAGCCTAAACCTGGGCATAATGAGTATCTTAGGGATGCTTAGGTGTTGCTCTGACAAAAATCAGCTACTTACAGCGACTACTTTCTGAGATTTTATTAACAAGTTGCTAACAAGCAGCAAACTGCTGCTCATCGGGTCTACATTTTAAACTCCCCATCTATGCCAACCTCAAATCAAAGAGAATTAACAATTAAAAAAAAGCTCTAGCAGTGCAGAGCCTAAAGGTATATTTACATTTCAGAGACCCCTCATTATTCTGTTTCTGCTCTATACAGCTGTACAACAGTGCTTTAAGCTAAATGCCACCTTCAGCATGTAAACAAGCTAAGCTGGCATGATGCAGACCATGTTAAACATTTTAGTTTAGCATACTAGCATTTACCGACAGGCACGAGAATAGACTGTTGGGAATGTCCTTCCTTTTGCTTGGTAATAAAAGACCCAATAGCACACTCAATCCAACACTTTAAATCTTACTCACAAATGCCAACATTTTGGAGGGAAACAACAAGCCAAGGAGTCTGAAAATAAGAACATGGTAAGCCATACACTATTACTTGGCATATGTTTGTCAAAAGACAGCCCATGGAGCTTCCGTCTGATAAGTAGACAATACTCAGTGTGGCACATATCCAAAGTTACATGGCAATATGTGAAGAAATAAATAAACAGACGCTACTAAAGTTGCTTTAATTTCTGAAAACACATTGTCAAACATCTGCTTTTCAATTTCACCTGTGCTACTTGAAGGTGAAAGAGAGATGTAAGACAACAGCAGGCTGGAAAGCCCTTCTTTCCAACAAATCTCCTCCACTGCTCAAAAACACCTATGACTAAGATATTCACCACTCAAAACAAGGGGAAGGCTAATTGTGTAGTTTTGTTCGAGCTTGTGCTCAAGACAAAATTTCACTCGACTTATGTCTCACCTCGAGTGTGTATATATATGTGTGTGTGTCCAAATATACAACATGTTCCCTTTCGTTACAGCACACTGTGTGGACACGGAGACGTGGATAGTAGACATGGGAACCAATGCCACAGCCAGTTAGTATAGTCTAAGCTCAAGGATAACGACAATATCAGAAAAGCTGACCAGTTCTGTCTTTAAAGTCTATGACCCAGAGAATGTGTCAGACACTTCAAGGAAAACACTCATTCAAAATTCCCATGAAATAATCGAGCTGAAAATCTGCCATGTACCCTTGAGCACTAAAGTGAGTCTCTATCAAAAGAGTGCTGTTGTGTAGATGACCTTATTTTTTGACCTCGTACTCCCATGCATGAGCATGTCTTTGACTTTTTTGAATTTTTCGCTTCTATTATATTAACTTTAAGGCCATTTTCTCATATAACCGCTGTACTCACAATTTTTTTCTTTTTTTAAGAAAATGCAATCGTGGCAAACCGATCTCTTTATTTCTCCATTTGATTTTTAGTCATATAAAATGTCCACTTATGCATGTTTGTAAATAAAAAAAGAGCATTACAATAGACCCTGAAGGAAGGAGGCATCCAAACAAGGGTGGATAATTATGCTTTATACATGTGTGTTACATACTGTAGATGTCTGCTTGTAAAGGGGCCTCATCAGACAGTCACTACACGGTTGAAGAAGCACTCACATACGCTCATGTTTCCTCAACACCTTAGGGTATTTATGGGGACCTTGTCCAAACTCGCACTAACAAACACACACACACACACACACACAAATGTGTTTGCATACGCACGCTTATCTAGGACCAAGCAAATCTAATGAGACAGCCAGACCAAAAGGCAGACAAACATACCCGAGGGCAGCGGCGTCTACATGCAAATACAGACGACATATGTTTGTCAATAGCCAACAAAATGCTCTTGTCAGGTGTGACTGTCATATCAACATATTTAAAAAGACAAATTTGCTGTCAGTCAATACCGTATTTAATTTTTTTAAACTGTCTGTTTTGTTGTTTTTCTGTCAAAAGAATAATGTGCAAAATAACTAGCTAGCTAGTTACTGCCTTTCTTTTCGCTTTGTTCCACAGAAACTGTAAAGTTGCTTTATGGTGCTGGATTATGCCAAATCATTCTTTATTTTTAACCAGTCGTGTCTACGTTGTTTTATAAATGTTCAACGCCTCAAAAACATCAGGTGGAATTAGACAAAAAAAATTAAAATAAAAAAATAAAATCTGGAACACAGAAATACATCAAATAAAACCAACTCAAGTGTAGAAGTAGCCAATGCTCTTGTTTGTATTCATTTAAAACGTAATTATTAAAACTCAAAGGCTATGATAATGCTCATTTTTCACCATTATTGAATGTTAAGATCAAACGGTCAGTGGAGTCATTTTGATGATTAATCGGACTGATCAGAACATAACAGTCCATTTGTTAACACTTATTTGCTTTCTTGCCAAGATTTAAATGAGAAAATGAGGACCACTCATCTCTGCAGGCTAAAACAGCCAGCTTGGGCAATAACCAAGAAATAATTAACATATTATTATTGTGTTCCTTTAATGCGCGGAACAACCATAGAGTAAAAGAAATGCCATCCTTTGGTTTTATGGGCATCAGGAGTAATTTATGGATGTTTAGCGCATCCATGCTAAGCCCTCAGTCTAAGGAGAATATTCACCACTGCAGTAAAAGCTCTCTGCCTGGTTCCTGGTTCCACGTTTCAATAAATTCAAGTTTTACTTTGAAGATGAACAGTCCCCATTTTGTGTCACACTTTTCACAGTTTCACTACCACTTAGCAAGCAGTCGCCAAGCGTTTGCAGACACGTTGACATGTTCTTTACTGCTGCAGCACTGCATAACTCTTTACAACCAGTTTCACTTAGCAACTTCCACCGGCATCCCCTCACCAACCAGTTAAGGACTACACACAGTTACATAGCAACCGGTGATTGCCTATTTTCTAAATTTCTTTAAAAAATAGATAACTTGCGTCCTTTGGAAAGACTTATTTATCATTGACTTGAAAAAAACAAAATAAAAATCAGCTGTTTTTTAAAACTAAAGGATGCAAATATGCTGCTTTAAACGCAAACCGATCAACTCAGCTAAACTGCCACGGATGCCCACATCTAATTACTATTCACAGTCCAAGCAGAGACATAATTTGGCAAATATGATTAAACTTAGTGCAGACTGGGACTGACTGTTTGTGTTTGTAAGTTTTACTCACATAGTCTGGCAACGCTGCGCTCTCTCCTTGTCTGCCTCTCAGAGACTGTGTTGCCTGCTCCAAAACCTTGTTGTGCTTTTTGGAAAGCAAAGCAAACAAACTGCAGGGGAGACACAGAGACACGGAAAAGGAATGAGTGTGCCTGTGACAGATGAATAACAAAACAACTCAAGTGGCATTTTATACTTAACAATGACCTTTCATTACCTCTGCTAAGAACAGAAACTTCTATTCAGAACAGTTTATTAATTTAAAAGCAGACCTGCTTGATTTGTAAATGAAGTCTTTTAAAATGAATGAATATTATTTCATATTTCATCACACAGGGAACTACCAGGAGATTCATTTAACCACAACTCATGTTTTCTTTTCTAAATGCGACATTTTATTTGTGTACATCTCTACATGGAAATGGTCGTCCCCCTTTTAGCCTGACATGTCTGCCTCTTATTTTATGCGTTTGTCTAAACCGCTGCTGTTATGGGACCGCATGATGGCACGACACAGACAAACATCAGTCTGCTTGACTGCACCTGGGGTGTAGTAACAGTTTGGGTCAATGCATGCACAGACCCACAGAGAGTAACCATTACTGCTCTGCTCATGCAAGAGTAAACTCATTCATAGCTGAAAAGAGACAATATTCTAAAATGCATTTTTTAAGAGGCATCCTGCTGATTATCAGTGTTATTAAAAGTATTAGTTTTGGTTGTGAATTGGAGATGGACCCTCTGTCTCTCATACTGGGCCTCCCCAGCCGGCAATTAATATCCAAGAATAATAGGAGATTGTACTGTGTTCTCACCTATGCGGCAAGGAAGAATATACTACTCCAATGGATTTATGAAAAAGTACCAACTATTAAAGGTTGGCAAAGAGTAGTGTTGGATTTAGTGCCACTGGAATATCTTACATGTATACTGCATTCAAAAACAGATCAATTCTTTAAGGTGTGGGAACCATACTTGAACTATGTGGAACCTGATGTTTCTAATATTATGTTACAAGGATTCTCTTGAGTGTTTAAACTGTAATGGAACTGAGCTGTTTTTTTGTTTTTGGTTTTTTTTGGTTTTTTTGTGTTTAGTTATCAGTTTGTTGTTTGTTTTATGTGTGTTTGTCTGTTTGTTTATTTTTTGGTTTTGAATTGTACACTGTATTATGTTATGTAATTATGTACTATTTGTGAAAATAAAAAGTTAAAAAAAATAAAAATAAAAAAATTAAAAAGTATTAGTGACCTTATCTTGTAATTACAACTTTGTAATCTCCTCTGTGGGTGCTCAGGGGTGCTAAATCTTTAATTTGTGTGTTAATCAAGAAGATTTTAAAAAAAATCTGAATAAATTAAAATCAATGACATCAACAAGCTAAAGAGGCACAAACAGAGCTCTGATAAGCCCTTGGAGCTACAACTACCCACCTGTCAGCACAGCACAGCACAGCGCACACATGCACACTCACACTCTAAATCCCCTAGCACTCATTATCCGGGATAATTGGTGAAATAGAGCTATGTGAGCAGCTACACGGAGGTCTACTTATCATCTTCAGACCTAAAGTCAAAGCCTCTATTAGCCACAACTACTCAAGGACCTCTTGTACTATCTACGCTCGTTTCCCACCACATTTTAAACGAGAGACCACCGAGTGAGCTCCACCTGGGACGGTGCCCACAATAACACACTGTCACAAGCTGGCCTGTCTCATCAGTGACACAAAAGATTTCAACAGTACTGGCATGATCCCCAAATCAGTTATGAGGCCGAAGTAATGACAGACACACTAAAGACCTAAAGACGTCCTGTTCCCAGCACTGCAGAGGTTTCGTTATGGACACACACTGCGCTCGATTGTGCTTAAACATTTGTATATATGACACAGCGTTCATTTTAAATACCCATCTGGAGGCTTGGATTCTTTTCTAAATCTAAAATTGAAATGTAGGAACGCTCATTTATAGTTTCACTATTTTATTTTAGGGCTTTATTAAAATCAGCTCATATGGTTTCAAAATAAACACAGTAAACATTTTCCTCATGCCTTTATGGTCTCAGTCACTTGTTTATTTCATACAACATGATGCTCATTTGGTATACGCATCCTCAGGACCTTCTATCGCTGTGCCATTGAGAGCATCCTCACTGGATGCATCACCACCTGGTATGGCAACAGCACCGCCTACAACTGCAAAGCTCTCCAGCGAGTAGTGCGGTGCTCTGAACGGATAATTGGAGGTGAGCTTCCCTCCCTCCAAGACATCTACAGGAAGCGGTGCCTGAGGAAAGCGGGGAGGATCATCAAGGACTCCAGTCACCCCAGCCATAAACTGTTCAGACTGCTTCCATCAGGAAGGAGGTTCTGCAGCATCCGGTCCCGTACCAGCAGACTGAGAGACAGCTTTTTCCATCAGGCCATCAGACTGCTGAACACGTCATAGACACCTCAGCTTCACTACTGGAACTTCAACATTATGCACTCCACACTGTATATAAATGCCACTTGTTTTGCACATATTCAACTCTGTATATTTTATATATTTTATTATTATTATTATTATTTTATTTTATTTTTTTACTATTTAATTTGTAAAAATGTGTATACACACACACACACACACACACACACACACACACACACACGTAGGAAAATATTTAGTATACACATCCAGAAATGCATACACTATTATATATTGTACATATATTTATTAGTTTCAGGTTGGCCATTCTTGTATTTTGCTCGTTTGTGTTGTTGTGTTTGCACATCTCTGTTGCTTGTGGGGCTCGCACACAAGAATTTCACTCGCATGTGCTGTGCCAGTGTGCCTGCACATGTGATGTGACAATAAAAAGTGATTTGATTTGATTTGATTTGATTTGGTATACAGTGGTGCCTTGTTTATCACAATAGTTACGTTCCAAAAATAACCCGCGATAGGTGAAATCCACAAAGTAGCCAACTTTATTTTTTACAGTTATTATAGATGTTTTATGGCCGTAAAATCCCTCACTACACACTTTATACACTTTTCTCCGACAGGCTCGAACACACTTTTCCACACGTTTAAACCTTCATAGAAAAATAAGTCCAGTATCATATAATGAAAGCAAAGGCACCCGCGGTTGCCTTTGAAGGTGCAAAATGTTTTCGGCTAGCAATGGAAGACTTATGTAAATTTGACAAGCTGAACGCATTCTGTACTGTACAGAAGACTCGGCACGAGATTGACTGACAATGGTCTACAGCCAACCAGAAGGCAGAACACAATGTGCTGTAAAATTCTGTTACATTCTGGCACACACCTTTCACACCAGAGACAAAAGTAAAACCTTTCCCCCAAATTTAAAATATGAATAAAATGAGCGTGGATCGCTTTTAAAATGACAACAAATTTAGCTGTACTGGTTTATTTAGACACAATTCCAGCTTCTTATTTGTGAATATTAAATCTCATGTGTACATTTTTTTAATAAACGAAACAATGAATTGATTAATATTATAAAACAACTGGCAGATTGAAGATGCTCATTACCTGCAGCATTACAGTGACCTAAATTGCATTTGTTGAGTCTGCCGACACACGAGCAGGGATAGAGGAACAATTTGGCAGAAAGGAAATATTGATGGAGAGCAGGGAAAACGTTAAATTAGTAAGGAAAGATGTGTGGGGGTTGTGGTTAGGGCAAATCAACCCACTGCCGCCTTAAAATAAACAGCACCAGCCGCGATTCTCTCAAAGAGTCAATTATGGAGCAGAGTTCAGCGCTGCCACTCTGACATTAGGAAATTCCTGGCAGGAAATTCCCTTTATCTAGCAGCCAGCCAGTTTAGCCCAGCCCGAGCCATCGCAGTCATCACCATTATCATTATCATCAGACATGGAGTCGGTTCTTCTACATCACTTCTGGACAGACACGTAGAAACACAGAGACGCTGTTCCTCTCTGACTCAAAACACCAAAGTCACAGATATGGATAGAGACACAGGCAGGGAGATAAGACGATCCTTGAGTGTGCGTGAGTCTGTGCACGTCTTAAGGGAAGGAAACATTCCCTTTCTGTTGTCTGCAGTTAACAGACAAGAATGACTTGATATCTGTATCTGTGTGTGTGGTTTGGACCCCATCCTCTTCTTCTGTCTCCACATGGGCCAAACACTTTCCCCTTAATTTCCCCCTTCTTACATAACGATGTCATTTGCACAATCTTACCACTCACTAAATAATCTATTTTTTTTAGCCTCTTTTGCTGCAACTACTGTCAAGTTACTATAATGACAAATATTATGTGCTGCCTCAACATGAATCTGCAAAAAAAATCTACTGAGTGTTGTGCGAACGTGCTTTTTTTCTGCTTTTCAATCATCTCATACAAGTATTCTACAGACATCTCATCATCTGTCATGCCCCACTTGCTTTATTATTTGTACACCTTAGTTAATTGCTTACCTTATGATCCGCTGGGCAGCGTACTGGTGGAGACATCGAAACTGTGCTGACATGTTGGCGAGTGCAGCGAGACAGTTGGTGTGCAGGTATTTATCCTGGAGAAGACGCACACACAAGCAAGCAGACAATACTGGCATAAAGATCAAACTGAAAATTGCTTTTAACTCAAACACTCCAATCATGCCAAATGCCATGTGTGTTAAAATACATAATAAGTACTGTGAAAAAGTCTAAACCCACCCCGACTGCTTCATGTTTTGCCAGGAAAATGGGAAATAAGTGCAGCGATTTACTGCAATATGTGCAAGAATACATGGAAAAACATTATGTAAAACATTTGTATTAGCTTGTAAGTCAATATTTGTTATTCTTATTAACCTTATCCTGAACCCCCTCAGGCAAGTTTTCTTGTAATTTTGTTAACTAGTCTTCATTTATAGCTCTTCAGGCTTCTTGAAGGTTTGCCCTTCAGCTTTGGCTTTTTCACAGCCAAAGCTGTTCTTTGGGTGTTAGCTACCTTTTGGTATGTCAGGCATGATTTTACTGAATTGGCAGCGTGTGTGTTTCAGTAAAATGTATCTATAATATCTGTCTTATAAAGTCTTATTAGGGCAAAATATATTTCACAATATTAACAAATGATTAAACTTCTTATAGAAAACGACTGCCTGGTTTTTTTAAATTTAATATGAAGCAGCATTTGGGATGACATACCAATACTAGAAAACTATTGCCCACTACATCATCTGAGCTGGGAATGCACTGAACATCAGGTCTGTGTTAGGACTGAATTTGCAATGACAGACAGTAAGAAAAAATGATGCAATACATATTTCAGTAAACCACAGCCTAATTTTGGGTAAAGACATTATGATCTCTGATTCCTTGTATCCCCCCTAGCACTGGGGAATTAGATGAAAAATTAGTGTAAGGTCAGCTATTGAAACTGCACCAAATAATCATTTCAGGGACTGAGAATAATGTGCTAAGCTCTGAATGCACAACTATGTAAAATGTGACATCAAGAGAAAGGGAAAGTACATTTAGACTGAGAAACATTTTGCATGACAATTTTCACAAAGGGAAACAATCTGAAATACAAAGTATATGGTATAACACCTCATTAATGTCACATCCTTGTGCTCTTTCTCTCATTTGCTTCGATGAACAGGGGTCTGATTTAAAAAAAAAAAAATTGAATTTTTTTTTTTTCAAAAAAAAAAAAAAGTCTTTTGCACAGGACTGTAACATATGCCTCTTTCACAAATGTACAAACGTCTTCATCACCGTGTGTTAATTTTACCCTTGTCCGGGTCATGTTGAACTGGATGGTGCGAATCACCACCAGGATGAGCAAACTGCCGAGAGAAATCTCTGTTAGCGATCTCTCTGTGTACCATGTGACGTTCTTTAATATCTGTGAGATGGAGAGGGACAGAAGTTAGACGAACCAGGTGAAAAACGTCAGGAATCATTGACTATTACCACCAAGAGAGACGGTTAACAGCTGAGACGTAAAGTGCGTCTACCTACCACCTCATGGATGGACCGGTTGAAAGCATCGTCCTCTGTCAGGATGAGGAGAATGATAAGGGCCATGTAGACGTGATGAGAATTTCTTTCCTCTACGTGGTAAAGGATCTCGAGTATGGGCAACACCTGAGACAAACAGCGGGAAAAGAAAAGGAGTCAAACATGTATTCGGGGTTGACATCTGCAAGGCTTCTGACTTTGTGTGGATTTCTCATGCCATGGCTGTATAAGAAGGACATGTTCAAGACTACGGCGGCACTAAGTCATTTTACTTTTGAGCTGGCCAACAGATGAGGTGTGAGCCACAGCTCTGAAAAACAACTCTAGTGACACTTCTTATTCTTCATGGATCATCTAACCAGAGACAAACCACACATACAAAACTGGGCAAAAATCCAAACAGTCTTGGAAAAGAAGCCATTAAACAGCTCAAAATTACCATAAAACATAATGTATACACATTCCAAAAAGGGGTTATTCACATTATTCTATTTAACCCAATTTACTAATAGTGCCAGAGGCGAACAAGTTAGCAGTTAGTAATAAACATACGCAGTAGCACTGTTAGCTCATTACACTGTCACGCAGCATTGCTTCATTGTTGAGCAAAGAGCCTAGCCTCAATAGTAGCCTCCCTACTTCTGAACGAGTTTCAAAATGTGACTGAAGATTAAATTTATGAGGATTTCCAAACAAGTCTTGGAAACAACCTCATAGAGTTCTTCTGTTGTGGTTTGTTCCTCGTCTTAGCTAACAAGGCAAAAAAAAAAGTTATACTACTTCCATGTTAAATCATTTGTAAATTGATCTGAGATGCCAAAGATTGATTTCCAGTCACTAAATATCTTTGAATTTATTATCTTATAAGGAACAGCTGGCACGGTCCCACGCAGAAAATCAACAGCAATCCCCGCACTAATCTCGCCTGTTCACCGAGCCACGGCATCGGTCCTGAATGACGAAACTTCACGGCCGTACTGAATGTGTGTGTGGAAGGACTGCATGATGTGTTTTATTAAGCAAGTGTGTTATTTGTTTCCAAAATGTCAGATTCAGATTCACTTCAATCCGACCCACCAGATTGTCCATGTCAGTTCTCGACAGCACGTACGTCCTCATGTTGGTGTTCTGGTGAAGCAGGGTGTACAGCAGTAACGTGGCCTGGTCGGAGCGCTGCTGCTCACACAGAGCAGTGTACAGACTGTTGAAATTGATCTGGAAAGTGTGAGGTTGCTCTACAGGCAGCGATGATGTGTCTGCATGGACAATGGTAAATATTATCAGGATTAGTATTCACTGCCTTCTTTCACATAACTCAAACAAACAACTGTCCCAAATATGTTTTGGAACATCATAAACATTATGTGTGACAGCGCAGAAAAAGAGGCAGACCGAAAACAGTAAAAACCAAAATTCTGTTTGTAAGTATGTGCAGTTATATATTTATATAAAAACTATTAAGAGGAGGCGGCTAGTCTGTGATATTACTTTCACTCTGACCTAAATGTACACCTCTTGTACTGAAGTTTGTGTCCCAGTGGCAGGTGGGTAACACATTGGACTTAACACTTTGCCAATTGTCAGCAATTTACAACAACTAACCTGTGTTAGTAGTAAAATTTTTAATGAAATAAGGAAATACATCCCTTTAGAGTGAAGGTTTAAGATTTTTAAGGATTTGAAGTGGGCCGTAGCACTCTTGACTTTGGGAATGTAAGCAATACAGAGAAAAGCATTTAGGAAAAAAACAAAACAACCAAAATAATGCACTCCAATATCACTCTGTTCTGATTCAGTTTACATATTGAAAAAGAGCAGTGGGAAGAAAAGCACACCTTTTTAATGCCACCCCTTCACCGTAAGTTACCAGTTAATATTTATCCAGCTTTCGTACTGATATGAATCTCAATAACAACATGACAATAACACAGAACATATACAGCTACTACGTAAAATACACATTTTTATCATGTTATCTTGTTTTTTACAACTCCATAAATCCATCTTTAGCTCGGAGGGATAACTCCATGGAGACTGTGGCTGATGTTTCTTAGAAACCTAATGGAGGTCTTAAATAAGAAGTTTAATCATTTACGAACGCACTACAACTGACGGAGTATCTATGTGCGTCACTACTAAACCACGATAATTCAAAGAACAGACACAGTTTGACTTCTTCAAATCAGAGATTCGTAGAAAATAAAAAGATAAATAATGAAATCTGTTTTTTTCTTGATATGTTCGTCTAATCTGATTTTCGCATGCTGTGTTACACACGCCTTGTTTATCTAGTACATATTACCTTGTGTGTTTCTGAAACAAGTAATAGCCTGGCGGTAGGGGTTGGGCCATTCAGGCCCATCTGTCAGATTGGCTAATACCAGCAGTAACAGAAGACTCTGATTGGACAAAGGTAAAGGGTCATGTTCCTGGTCTATCCCAGCTCTGCTGCCAGCTCCACCCAATGTGAAGACACTCCACAGACCGCCTGCAAAGAGCAAGACACAATCTTTTTCACCAAGGGTTTTTTCTCTTTTATTAAGTTTTATTTAAAACTGTAAGAAAAGAAATGTGGAATTTAGAGACACAATTAGAGGTACAAGAAAGCTTATGTACAGATAGACAGATAAATACGTTGTTGTTTTTGCTCATAATGCATAAAAACCAATAAAAAAACAAAAACAAAAACAGACACACAAAAAAACAACCAACCATACTGTCATATGAGAAAGCATGGATATACTTCCTATAAATGGCAACAAAGAGTATCTGGATTAGTTGTAACTCGCCGAGTGGTTTTATATATTAAATATGAATTTCTATAAATTGAAGCTGGTTCATAAAAAAAAAGAAAAAAGGCAAAAAAAAAAAGGCAAACACAAGTGAAGTGAGCTCAGAGTAAAGGTCAAGCATCTTTAGCTTGAACACAGAAGATAACTGAACTCATCACAACAGCATAAAAAAGTATTTTCTTTCATACACAGTTGAGTTAATAAAGACCTGCAGTACATTAGACAACATAGAATAACTGCAAAAAATGGTGTGAAACAATGGAAAAGGTTGCTTCAGACAAGAGAGAGGTCGATGAAAAGATACAACTCAATTCACGGAACATCTGAAGTAGGATCAAAGAGTACTCGCACAGAGGGGATGAGACACGGCAGAAGCACTCATAAGCTTAAACCAAGAAAACCAAGCTTAAACGTACAAAAGAACATGCTCAGGGAGTTGCATTCACACCAGTCTATAGCATAAACTCTATGTGGAGAAAGCTAGGGGAAGATCTGCAACAGAGAGTTTAAACGGCCCTCCAAGAGCACTGAACCAAATCCCACAGAGCGCCCTCGATTAGCCCCGAAAAAAGAGACATTAGCTGGTCGACGCTTTGTATAGATGAACAAACGCTTTGCTGAATGACAGAAACTAGTCAATCCAAACCCCAGATGCTTCGTTATCTTTTTAAGTTGATGTGGAAGTTTAATGGCAAACATTACTGGTGTTTTGGTAAGATTATCTGCTTTTGGTGTCTGTCACCTGAACATTGAGCTGCTTTGCATACTATATTGCCATTCAGTATGTGTCTGCTGTTCAGTGATGATCAGATTAGAGTACAGCGGGTTCCTACAGCTTCCTGTGGAGTCTAAAAGAAAACGTGTGTGTACCACGACTTGTATTTGAAATGAAAGTCACTGTGAAACTACGTAAACATGAGAAATTAAAAGCAACTTCATTCATTGTAAGAACATGAATCATATTTGAGGATCGACTGGACTGAAAACTTTAGTCCTCTGTTTCTACAGAAAATTGAAGTAAGATTCAGTTGGAAGAGCAGTTAGCTTGTACATGGAAATCTTATCAAAGAAATCATTTGACAATTGAGTCCTTTTCAGCCTTAAAAACAGATTTACACTTCAGTGGGGAAAAAAGAAAAGTATTCACAGCCAGACTGATGTAATCAAGGCCAAATAGGCACAATGGAGTCACGCACAATGGTTTGCAGCACCTGAAATTTGAAACAACACAGACGGCGCCACAGCACAAACGGAAAGTGGAACTACTGGGTTAGGGTTTTTTTGTCCCCCCCTCTTTCTTGTTGGGTGATGAGAGAGAGATGAGAGAATTTCTTGTAGAGCAAGCGAAGTGCTGGTGTTTTCAAGCATCAAGAGAAAGCTCAAGAAACATGAACAGCAAGGTACACAGATGACAGTCTCTGGCTCCTCCACGTCTAGCCAAACAGAATGCGTGAACCAAGTGTTAGAGTGCAGTTGTGAGCCCACAATGATCCAACTAGTGAGCTCAAGAACAAGCCAAGCAGATCTGTTGCCATCTAGAGCCGAAGGCTGGAAGAGCGTAACAAACGTCTGGCTGAAGTTACACATGGAGCCATGTTAATTAGCTGCCCTGAGCCCTGATATGACGCCTGTTTAAGCCGGCATCCCATCATATTATAAAAAAAATAACTGAAGAAAATTAAAGAGGCATTCTCATGTATCCTGTTTGGACTGATGGGAAACAAAAGCGTCCAAGACAAAAAGAACGTTTCTGACTGAAGAAGCCTGAAACTAATTTGTCTTAAATGACTTTGCATTCTGAAAAAGGAGCTTTTCAAACACGTTTCCCCCCCCTTATTTTTCTCCTTATGTTTACATGTTGGTTCACTAATGACTAGCCAAGAGCTACTCCAACGTTTGTGTTTAGGAATGTGAACCCAATTCCATAGAGGAGGGGACGAAGCTTGTTTATATGTGGGTGAAAGAACATCAGCAAAGTGCTTTGACAACAACAAGAAAAAAAAATAACCCCGAGAGATGAATTACATAATTTGCACTGGTCACTCTGTCTCTCCCTTACACACAAACACGCACACACACGCACATGATAAGCTTTCATTTCTGCTGGCCAGAAAGAGACGCGAGTGTGAGAGAAAACAAGATCAAGCGAGAGAAGGCCAAGCTGTGACGGAGCCCCGTACATCTCTTCACTGGCACCACAGTGACTAGCCCAGCAGTTTCAGAGAGACCGGTCTGGCAGCCACATTTCCTGCACTATATCTGACGCACGCACACACACACACACACACACACACACACACACACACACAGCTCTATTTTACCTTAGTGGGTGCTGTTTGTTAGCCATCTGGCCTGGTTCCCTCTGCCTGTCTGCCTGCCCACCACATAAACCCAATAATGCTACCCTGCTTAGGCTGCTCAGGACCTGGCCAGCTGCCCAGTGGAAAAAGAGGAGGAGGAGGACACCAGGAGGAGGAAGGGGAAAGTGAGGAAAAGAGAAGGTCACACACTCTCTCACAGAGGCTACTACGCTGAAATGAGAATCTGGGCTTTAGGACTTGGGGGGTGCTGAAAGGTGCTACATGCAAACCATGCCCCCAGAAAACCTTACTTTACTTGCAGGATGAGCATGTTACCAAAACAACCTCTTCATTATCTGCACTTCTCCTCACAATGTGCACCCACAGTCTATAGAAACTCAAAGCCAGACCACACTGCAAGTTTCTGCAACAGAACATGCGGTGCTGTTGCTTTACTTGGCCTTAGTCTTGCATAATGACTACTGCCATCAGACACGCGAATACTGGCGCACAGAGTATTTAAATCAAAACATTAGGTGGGCTGAAAACCCTCTAAGTCCAGATCACCTAGATGAATTGATATTGACCTCGACTCTCACTTTATTTCTTCTGATGCAGTTCATAATGCAGGTTGTAGTAATGGAGTGAACATAGTTATATTTAAAAATTTCAGTCCTAATTAAGCTGGCTTGTACTCCTTAACATCTGACGACTGTCATTTTTCAGCTGCAGTAATTCCAGCAATAGAAGCAGGCTTATTAAAAAAAAACAAAAAAACATACAAGAGTTCAAATCTCTATGAAACGAGTGAAATTTTTGCTTTTCTAATTCAGGAGCAACGTGAACATGTAAACACCTCAGTGGAGACACTAGAGAAGGGAGCTGGAGTTGGAAAGGATTCCACATAGTTACGGCTAAAAACACAGCGCAGACAGACACTGGTCAACAGAGACAGACACAGTGTGCTACTTACTTATTTACTTGCATAACAGTGAATGAAATATGACTTCAGGGCTTTAGCCCAATGTTTTGGCCAAGCACGCAGATACACTGATACAAACACATGCACGCACACACACATGCGCGCATGTGGATATGTCAAACCTCTGATGATTATCTTAAAAAAAATTCATGTGGGGAAACATGTTGTGCAGACGATAAATAAACACACTTCTTCACAAAAAATATGCTCAAAGCGCATTTATCCAAATGCAATCCAAAACCATGGTAACATAAACATATCCGACATATGAGAACATTCCACAGATTTTGTAACCGTCATAATGATAATACAAAGTTCTGCCACAACAAATCCTCCACTCCTAATAGCAAAATGAGAGCAGTCTCCAGTCCAAGCTAGAAATGTATCATTTTCTGTTAAGTGCGCTATGCCAATAATGTCACATACACGTACACATAGCGTGTCTGTGTGGCTGCTGCTAACTCAATATTAATCATGTAGACTGCAGATAACAAACTGCAGAATCAGAAAGCTGTTTGTGTCATTACATATTTAACAAAAACAAAGCCAAAAATGCAGAAGACGGAATGTGGAAGTAGAAGTACACTCCATGATTCAGTAGCTTGTAGAGGCACCTTTAGCAACAATAACTTGTATGATAAAGTGTATGACTTTATCAGTCTCGTACATGAATGTGGGGGGTTTCGAGACACTCTTCTTTACAGTGCTACTTCAGTTCAGTTGAGGTCTGCGGGCATTCATTTTTGCACAGCTATCTTAAGGTCTCACCACAGCACTTCAATCAGGTTGAAGTCTGGACTTTGACTGGGCCACTGAAACATGTTTACTGTCTTCTTTTTCAGCCATTCTGCTGTAGCTTTGCTGCTGTGCTATATTGTTGCATGACCCAATTTGGGCCAAGCTTCAAAGATAGCTTCACATTTGAATCTAGAATAGTTTGGTACGCAGAGGAGTTTATGGTTGACTCAATGCCTGCAAGGTACAAAACAAGCCCAAATCATCACGCCCCCACCACCGTGCCTTACAGTTGGTGTGAGGTGTTTGTGTTGATATGCTGGATGTTTGACCAAACATGGTGCTGTGCATTATAGCCAAACATTTCCATTTTGATTTGTCTGTCCAGGGGAATTTGTTACAGAAGTCTTGTGGTTTGTTCAGATGCAACTTTGCAAACCTAAGCTCTGCTGATATGACTGTTCTTATGACAGTCCTGAAGTCTTCTTCTAGTTGGACTGTTATGAACTTGCTAAGTCCTGAAGAGTCTGAGATGTAGTTGTTTTTTTTTTTGTTTTTTTTTTAAATATTTCTCTGCCCTTGCACAGTCTGACCTCAGGATACATTTGCTGGGACATCCACTCTTAGGAAGTTTGGCAACTGTCTTAACAGTTTTCCACTTGTGAAAAATCCAGTTATTCTGAAATAGTTTTATAACCCTTCCCTGATTGAAGGGCAAAGACAATTGCTTCTCTTAGATCATTGCTGAATTCATTCCTCCTTGGTCCAGATGAACAAGCAGATAGATCTCTTCCTTTTATAGAGGTGGTCACACTTGCAGCTGATCAGTTAAACAAGTGCCTTTGATTATCAGCACCTGGAGGCTAATTACCAATTGAATTCCTATGGAAGCAGAGGGAGGGGAGTGAAGAGGAGGGGAGGAAAAGCTCCTGAGTTGCCAGTCTGGGTGATAATCCCCCCTGCAGACGCTTGCTCAGACTGAGACAGCAGAGTGTGTGACAGACATCCTACCCCTTAGACATTAAAATGCCAAAGAAACTCAAGAACTGCTTTGCTTTGCCAAGGTCAGTGTCTATTTCTTGGAAAAAATCTGTCCACGATTCAAGTGTTTAGGCATGGCAAGTATAAAAAAACAAAACAGGTAGTGTCATAATGCGTTACTGTAATCTGATTACTTTTTTCAAGTAACGAGTAAAGTAAGGGATTACTATTGCAAAAACGGTAATTAGATTACCGTTACTTTCCCGTAGGAACGCTGCGTTACTGCGTTACTAAAACCGTGATTTTTTGCGAGAATGTCTCATGACAGTGACAGTGACATAAGTTAGTGACAACAGCTGTGTGCAGATCAACAATGGATCACATATAGATTGTGGGAGAGAGTATGAGCGTGCAGCGTTTAAAGCGTGGAAGTACTGACCTTACTTTGAGTTTGATTCCATAAAATGTGACAAAAACATTAGCGTCCATCGTGCGTGGGAAGAAAACTTATTTTTACAGCAGAAAAAAAACCCTAAACTTCCGAGCAAGCACGGAGTGCAAAATGATGTAATGGGAAATTCACAGAGAAACTCGCGGATTCTTCCACTGACCACGGCACACCTGCACCAGGGTAAACCTCCGCCTACCGCAGTCCTGCTTTACAGGTGAAAATAGAGCAACAGGACAGCTGAGTCTTTGACTTTATTTATTTTCTGCTGTGTTTTACTTGCATCTATTTGAAAGAGTGAGTGTAAACACAAAAAATATTTTATTTTATGGGCTGGAATGTGCAGAAAATAGGTTTAAATGTTAAACTAATTTATTCAAGTCAGAGAATGTTGCATATAATTACATTTTTGCTTGATGCATAAAGTTAAAAGATTAAAACTGATAAAACAAGTTAAAAAAAAGAGACTTTTCCATTTGATTACATGTTGTATGATGGATTATGCAGAAAAAGTAGAATTGGGCTGAAAGATCTATCGCTTTATCACCTCTTCAGGTTGTAAATCGTGTTTTTAAAAAGTAACTAACTAACTAAGTAATTAATTACTTTTGAAAATAAGTAATCAGTAAAGTAACGGATTACTTTTTTGGGGAAGTAATCAGTAATTAGTTACTGATTACTTTTTTCAAGTAACTTGACCAACACTGGTCATAACTAGTCCAGACCAAACTGTGTGTGTGTTTAGGGGTTACATCTCTAAATGAACTCCTCACACATTCTTTCCTTTCTTTAAGAAATAAAACAACTGTGAATAGCATACCCACTGTGTGGAAAAACTGCACAGAAACAGTTTGTGCGTTTGCTGATATTTGTTGAGCTATTAGAAATATTGCCTTCCACTTCAAAAATGTTTCTCCACATTTGTAGTGCTAGCTATTTGCTGAAATACCATTACCACAATTTACACACATCTGCGCCAAAAACGCCATTTTGGATCGTTCGCAGTCACTTTAACCCCCTGAGTGATCTCTTCCTTTACAATAACCCTCAGTGATGGATACATCAATAAGATTGTGTTATTGTTTCCTTTATTAGGTTCCAACTGGTTTATTGTTGGAAACGCACTCATTCACAGGAAACAATAACTCTCCTCAAATGTCTTAAACCTAAAGTAATGAGCACGTTTCAAAAATGCAAGGAGTAGAAAGTACAGATGTAACAAATAAAAGTAAAATGTGGTCAGAAAGCTAAACGCTCCAGTAAAGCGCAGATAGACGAAGATTCTACTCAAGTGCAGGAACAAAGCATGTGTATCCTTCTCACCCATGAAATCTTTCTGTGACATCCTTTAGTACACGGCCACATTAATACAGATGAATAATACTGCTCTTTGCCTCAGCTGTATTTTGTCCTCTGTGCTACTTAGTTCAGTAGACTGAGATGATAAAATGAAATCGGCTCAACATAAATGCCATCATTCAACTCAGAGCACTATTTTGCATAAATATAGCTTTGCATGGCTCAACAGTTGTAGTCTAGTTTAATATCATCAGTTATTTTCGACTGATGACTTTATATAATCGTTTTCGCAAGCTGAGCAATCCCAACCACGAGGGGCAAACTGCCCTTCAGTTGTGAAACTGGTCTAATTCTCCTAACTAGCCAAACGTTTGCTAGTATAACGAAGTTCAAGAAAGTCATCTGATAGTTACTGTTTTCAGAATAACACCCACTTGTATATTCTGTCAGTGCCAAATGCCTCCATGCATACGAGACACAGAGACAGAGAAAGAAAACAAGTGTTGTTTCTGAGCTCTGAGCATAAGAGGGCTTGTGTCTTTGTTGGTCTGCGTGTGTGTGTATAAGGGAGGCGGCTGCAGACAGACAGGCTCTAGAGGATTACAGAACAGGACAGGGCACCATAACTCATCGAGCTGATCACTGGCCACAGACAGACAGGCTGGCTTGAATGGTGATGGCTCACTGATAGGAATCTGCCACCAACAACCGACAAAGACCGTTTATCTGTGGGGGAAACCCGGCCCTGTTCTCACACTGAAACAGGCACACACAGTGCACATTACCAGCTAAAAATGCACACAACAAAAATCCGCTCATTTTTTTGTCATTCATTTCAGCAGCGTTGCTCTCACTTTTATTTCTCAGATGCGTCGGGTCAGTTTATATTTTATAAAATCCCCCACACCCCAACATAACTGTAATGTATAAATCTTACGGCGTGTGGATGTGTTAATCCAACAGTTTGATTTTGATGTGTTGCTAGTGGCAACATCACTAGAACAAAAGACAAAAATGGGTGAGGAACACAAGGAGTCGTTATGGAGACAGAAAAGTAGGCACCCAGTTAAATTCACACAGGAAAACCCCAACCAGCCAGTGAATTCAATTTGGCATGTTATTGAGAAATTATTATATTTGAATTTTTTTGCAGTGTGTGTATGTGTGAGAAACAATATGAGACGGGGAAAAATATGAGTCTTTGGATGTGACTAGACACATCGCTGCTTCATTTTAGGCAACAATTTGGAAGGAAAAAACAGGTGACTGCATCTGAAAAGCTCACCACAGTCCCCTAATGCAATAATACAGTAATCTAAGGGCGTTTTCACACCTGCAGTGTGTCCGTTTAAATCAAAGTAATTAGTTTTCCCCTCTTGGTGGGGTTCATTTGTGTAGGTGTGAACACAGTAGAGCTAAAAAACCTCTCATAGCCTCGTATCCTTTGTATTCTCAGTGTGGGAAGGTACCATAGATGTGCAAAGGTCTGTGCAGGCTAGCAACTAGCCGTGAACTGAACATAAATTCTCTGAGTTCTCCAATAGTCCAGAACACAGCACCCCACCACAGATACATGTGGCCAGTGAGCAGACTGAACATTGTCACGTAGTTTTCAGTGACACATTTTGATTCATCTGAAAACAAATCAGACCACGGGGAAAAGCTACAAGTAAACAAACTAAAGGTGTGAAAATGACCAAAGTTCCAAAGTTTTACAGAAATGTACAAAGTAAACTGTTTAAATATTCACACTTTGACTACGAATTAAAAATAAAGATATTTCAATAAAAACATAAACACACAAAAAGTGGGATCTGCCTTCTTATCTGGGTAGCAATCTGATTAGTAAATACAATAATAATTAAGCTTTCCCTTTTTTTATCGTGTGTTGATGAGTGTGCTCGTACTTGCCACCCCTGACGCCAGACCATAAAGCAAGCCGCCCTCAGCTTTTGGTTCGAAAATGTGGGTTGAAGGAGGAGGACACTTCTCTTGCCTTATGAAGTTGTAGAGCAGGGTCTTCACCAGTCGACTGGTTAAACACATGCTGTGGAAAAGGGATGATAACGGTTTTAAAAAGACAAAACTGGACATTCGGACTCAATGTGAGACATAAATGCACATTTATACCTCAGCGCATATGAAAAGTCAAAGGAAATTGGGCTTGTTATTTTATTTGACTTTATCCTCCCTTTTTTCTTGCATCACAAAGAGTATGGAGTAGTAGCTGCATTCGTACTGGGTTCATCATTTGTCTCTATATTCACTGCTTAGATTAGGCCTTAAAAGTAAAGCACACATAAAGAATAAAGCCCTACAGTTGTGGTCTTATCTTTATTTCAATTCTTTAAAATTAGATCATGTGTGAATAATTGAAGGGCTGAACAATAAAGGTTTTGAATAATATAAGGAGGCACGGAGACAATCACTCTCATCTTTAGCACTTTAGTTTTCTTTATTAGATATATAATAAGTGAAGCCTTCCGCAAAAGTTCTGAGAATAAAAGCACTGGGGTTATTTGGTCATGTTTAAAAGTGTTCCTTACCTGCTAAAGACAAGAAATGCTAATTTTAGAAACAGAATAGGAACAGATTGTGAGGATTTTCTCCAGAGAGAGAGGAAAAAAAATCAGCTCTTTTGCAAAGTCAGCCTTAGCACCTTCCTAGTCGCTGATCACGCCATATTCTTCACAGTGCAGCAGAAAGCAAAACGCACATATGTGCATGCAGGTGCGTGTCTACAGCCACGTCTAACAACCCGCTCGCCATTTACACGTGTCTATGTTGGGCATCAATCTTAGTCAGTTTTCCCTTCTTTACACGTAAGCTGTAATTTCTTGTGGATCTAATATCACTGTTTGTGCTTTACTTTCTGGAAACACTAAATCTTATTAGATGGCCTTCAAAGCTGTTTTGTCACTTGAAAACCTTTCATCACTTCAATCCACTGAGCCAAAGTGCTCGCTTTGGTTGTGTTAGTCTAAACTGCAACTATTGGACTCAAACAAAATGCATCAAAATACAGCAGTTATCTAAATTTAATAACATTCAAGAAAACCATTTCCATGTACAGGCTTGCATTAACATTTATTATAATAAACAGGCTAATGTTTCGCTCTCACACTGCTGTGGCTGTGATTGGCTAAATTAGTTTTGTTTTCTTCTTTTGGTATCAGTTAAATGGGACAAGGACAACCAACAGGTTAATTTTATGTGAGTAGATTATTTGACTGAAAAACAAAAATATTATGGGGCTGTATTTATAAAAAATACAAAAAACCCTATTATATTTATTTACAGGTTCAGACATTTTAGCTCCCCTCCCAAAAAATGCAATCTATTGATCAGCTGATTTGGCATAAACATTAGTTATGGACTGCAACTTATAGTATGGCACAGCAGCCTGAGGGCTCTTGGCTAACACCTTGTGAATCCTGCAGAAGTCAAGCCGTTAACCACCGCATAAATATTTCAATGCAACTATTTTTCCCCTGTCACAATTACATGTATTATAACCATTTATTCCTCTGCCCAAACAGGATCTTCAAGCTTCAATGATACAATACAATAAGTTCCCCATAGCTCTGGACAGTGACAAGCATCAATGCTAGTGGAACGATATTAGCCATGCTGCATGCAAACACCCTGTTGTTCTGTGGAATTATCATCAAAAACAAAAATAAATCACCGAGTCTCGTTTTCTCAGATGTGCCTGAAGACTTGTGCAGGTCTGCAGCCAACAACAGAACATTTGGTGTTTTTGCTCATTGCTTAGACGTTTTAGAGTCAGACAAGCCACTCTAGCAAGTGAACAAAAATGGCAGACTGAAGCAGCAGCTCATTGTTTATTTTAAGGTTTGCCAAACTGGCTGCTTTGTAGGCGTTCTGCACATGCACTGCGCAGTCATGTAGATACACTCAGTGACTATTTTAATAGATATACCTATTCAGCTGCTTATTAATTAAAAATATTCAATTTAATTTGCATATAGCCACAAATCACAGTCACCGCAAGGGATGTTTTATAATGAGGTAACGACTCTACAATATTAGAGAGAAAAAAAAACAAAAAACAGATGCAAGCACTAGGTGACAGTGGGAAGGAAAAACTCTTTTCACAGGAAGAAACCCCTGGCAGAACCAAGCTCAGGGAGGGGCAGTCATGTGCTGCCACTGGCTAGAGGTGAAGGGAGGAAGACAGACATATATACTATGTCCTGAAACCAGCCAATGATGTGACAGTAACTCATTTAGGCATGTTTAAATCAACCTGCTATCTCAAGGGTTTACAGAAGATGGTATAAAAAGAGAGCAAATATGCAGTTGGCAGCAGTTCACAAGGTCAAAAGGCCTTAAGGCAGGGTGTCCAACTCCAGGCCTCAAGGGCCGGTGCCTGCAGGTTTTATCACACTGGAACAACACACCTGAATCAAATAATGAGTTCATTACCAGCCTCTGGAGAACTTCAAGACATGTTGAGGAGGTCATTTAGCCTTTTAAATCAGCTGTCTCAAACCTGCAGGTAACCGGCCCTTGGGGCTTGGAGTTGGACACCCCTACCTTAAGGGGAATGGTCAAATTGCTTTAAGAAGGCAACAGTAACTCAAATTGCAACATTTTGTGGAAGAGCATCTCTGAACATGCAACCTGCTGAACCTTGAAGCAGGTGGGGCAGCAGAAGAGCACACCGGGGGTCACTCCTGTCAGGTTATGTTGCATGGACTTCGCAAAATTGTTGGATAACAGAAGAAAAACTTTGCAGCATTCAGATGGTAGGGTCAGAATTTGGTATAAACACCATGAAAGGATGGATCCATCCTGCCTTGCATCATCAGTTCAAGGTACTGATGGTGCAATGCTGTTGGGGAGATTTTCTAGAGACACTGCGACTACCTGAGGATTGTTGCTGACCATGTCCATCCTTTTATGACCACAGGGTACCCAGATTTAATTTGTGCCACTAAGAATTCAAGCAGGTCAAGCAAGCCAAAAGGGGGACCAGTTTGATATAACTAATAAAGTGGCTTGTGAGCACATAATCACATACAAAACACTTCCATTTCTACCTTTTCTGTTAATATGGGCACTTCAAGTTAAGTGTAGTCTTCAGTGGAGTGTGAGCGAGTGTGTTTCCTCACCATCGTCCCTTCATGATGTGCTGGTATATAATTCCATCTCTGAGGATGTCTTTGTAGAAGAGCTGATAGGAGAAGAATACCAGCAGCACGGTCACTGCCTCAAACAGGATGCTATAGGTGATGTCACTAAAGAAAACAATGTAACACAAAGAGTTCATGTAAATAAACAAACTCAATTTTATAGCTAAACATCTGCATAAAATAATATCTATAAGCATTTCATGCATGCTTTCAAACAGAATAGATTGATATGCTCTCTTGGCTGCATTGATGTCAACATCTCTTCATAAAAGGATGACAGAGCACTGCAGTTAGCTGAAGGTGGCAGCACTACATATCATGCCTTGATGGTTCTTTTCAGACCCGTTTTATGACTAAAAACATCTTTTTTGTAAACAGTTTATCCATTTATATCAAAAAATCCAGACTCTACAGTACATTTCCTACCTTGCTAAAATGCCAATTCTTAGCACACTACAGGTCACGGAGTTATAAAATGATGTTCATATGTACGCGCCCTTAGTTCAGTTTTCAGCCTTCTTCCTATTAATCAGTGACGAAAAATGATTTTTTTAGTTTGTCTGTTAGATTTCTGCCAATAAACTCCATTGTTTATTGGCTGAAAACGGACAAAACTTTTAACTTGGAAACTATGATTTTACTAGTGTGGCATATATTGTCAACATATAGAAATAGCTGTATCAAGATTATCATGTCACATTTGACCTCTGATCTCTCCTTCACTATCAATAGATTGATCTGAAGGTGATAATAATGCTACATAGAGCCATCTAAAACTATGTTTCTTATTGCCATTGTTTGTATCGATAACCTATAACTATCACATTACATTGTACCTCTGACCTTTTCATCAGGGTCGAATAAGGTCAACTTTTCATTTGAAGCTTTATCTTTAAAATTGTCTGTTTGTATTGGCAACATTTGGGAAATGATACTGGTATATGGGGATTGTAAATATCACATTACAGTTTGCATCCAAATATCACGTCACATTTGACCTCTGATCAAACGTTTACATTTCACATCTGCCTTTATTTTACGTTGACCCCAAGATTTGCTGTATCTTTAAAGAAAGTATTGGCAAAAGAAAGAAAATGAGCTGCTTAGTTAGTTAGAAACACAGGGTGGGCCATTTATATGGATACATCGTAATAACATGTGAATGGTTGGTGATATTAAAGTCCTGTTTGTGGCACATTAGTATATGTGAGGGGGCAAACTCCTCAAGATGGGTGGTGACCATGGTGGCCATTTAGAAGTCGGCCATCTTGGATACAACTTTTGGTTTTTCAATAGGAAGAGGACCATGTGACACATCAAACTTATTGGTAATGTCACAAGAAAAACAATGGTGTGCTTAGTTTCAGCGTAACTTTATTCTTTCATGAGTTATTTACAAGTTTCTCTTTGTTCACAGCCATTGACATGTCGAAGAGGTAAACACGTGAGGAGCGGATCGAAATCGTGTTGATATCTGGTGAACGCACGTCACATGGCCCTCTTCCTATTGAAAAAACAAAAGTTGTATCCAAGATGGCCGACTTCTAAATGGCCACCATGGTCACCACCCATCTTGAGGAGTTTGCCCCCTCACATATACTAATGTGCCACAAACAGGACTTTAATATCACCAACCACTCCCATGTTATTATGGTGTATCCATATAAATGGCCCACCCTGTATACTACAGTGTATATACTGTAGTGTAATATTATACAAGAAGCTCAGGTTGTTCCTGTTCAGCCATTTAAAAATCAGAACCTACAATCCGTGACCTACTCTTACATAATATTTCTGTAATTAATTTAAGTAAACATTTGTCATACTACTAATATCCAATTCAGGGCTGAGGGGAGCTGGAGCCTATGTCACCCGGACAGATCAGCTCTCACAGTTTGCATAGAAACAGTGCATTGTGCATGATAAAGGCCCAGTCATGTCAAAACATTGTCTTTTGAATCCAGTACATACTTAGAAGCTCTGTGTGAAGTCTGCACATGCACACTGCACTCTTTAAGCCAGTTTTACGGGCTACTTAAATTTCTGTTTTGAAATTAATTCCATTACTGCGTGCTGTTTTTTAGCTTTGCAAAGTACTTTGTCACCAATCAGCTACTGTTTTAGTTGGATACCTGTGAATGGAAAAATAACCACTCTCGTACTCGTGAGACAAAGCCACAAAAAAGGCACAGGAGTCTGCTTGGGACTTGGGGGAAGCTAACTAAAAGAATGGTGGGTTTCCCATCCAAGCCAGGAGCACGTAGAGGGGAAATGGGCTAACAGCCACAAAGTGGTGAAGGGAAGAAAAACAGAGAGCGATTTTAAGCTTGGAACAATGAATAATGTTGGAATGTTGAATGCATTTACACAGGAGCCACAGTTTGATGTTTGGAGACAAGAGAAGAAAAGGAGAGCGAAAGGTGAAGAGGTGCAGAGAAAATAGAGGCAGACGGTGAGAGAAGGTATCCGGAACGACGCACAGAACAAGTGGAAGATGCTGTGACAAGAAGACGTCAATCATGATTCGACAAATTTATTTTGAAAAGCTCGAGGAGATTGCTTTTCTAAACATATTGCGTGTACTTTTTAAAAAATCATTCACTTATTGATAAGTAAACACAGAGGATGTTTGTGTTCACACCGCCCAGCGGGACTAAAGCCTGATACAATTTTTCAAACATTATGTTCCCTCCACTCCCACTCCCTGGAAATGCTCCTAAACTTTCATTCCAAGCTTTTTCTCTTCCCCCAAACAACCAACACTTTCGCTCTTTCGGATCGCCGTGTTGCCAACATCAGAGTTCCAGCATGTCAGTATGCCGTGTTCCTTAATGGATTTCATCTTCTCTTGGTTAGTGACTCAAGACAAGAATAAGCAAGCGCAGCACGCAAACAGAACAACACATACAAACTGCTTTTCATTAGCTCCTAAGTCACTAACATGCTACTCATATTAACAGGGGGAAACAAGTGATCACGGACTATTACAAGTCCAATCACTCAGGCAATGTTTTCAAACATTTAGGCTGTAAGCATCTTTCTCACCGTTTCAGAATAGCTCTGACATGCCCGACCTTTTTAGAGTGTTTAATTCACCTTTTTCCTCACGCAAAAGACGGGAGAGACTTACAGCAGCGGCACTTCAACGATCAGGTGAACAAGGTTGGACAGCAGCTCCTCAAGAAGGTCTTCACTTCCTGTTTCTCCACAAGGGATTGATAAAGTAAATATATGAAAAACACTGAATATAAGACAGTATCAGGTTAGTTGTCGCAACTCTGCTCGACTAATCTGCCACTAATCCAATCCTTAGTTCCCACAGGTCGCTCTGTGTTTTCATGTCCATTAAACAGAGGAAATAACACAGTACTATTTAATAAGGATATCACACAGAATCCATTTCATACTTTCGTCATGATTATAATTGCAAAAGATGAACAAATGATGACAAACCGGTAGAACAACAAAGTCTAAAACTGTTTAATGTTAAATCATATTTTCCAGCAGTTTAGCATGATAATTCCTAATGACATAATTAATTATATTAGTGTGTCCTGAACTCACATAAGCAGCAAGAAACTGATGGAAGGATAAACCATTTTGCAAAGACCAATTAATTCAACTTCATTCAATTTAAGAGACATTCAGAATTGGCTTAAGTATGAAAGGAAGTCTCGTACATTTGACAGTTATTATATGAGACATCTAAAACTAGGAAATAACCTCTGTTACTCACTTCCAAGAACTCACTTGGAAACCAAAAACGTAAAGAATGCTGAAGATTTCCTAACAGATAACGTGACGTTTTGCGTAAGGTGCACTCAAGTGCAAAAAACTCAAGAAATTTTCAACATTGCTACTGATTCTAAGAGAGCACCTTTTTTTTTTTTAGCAAAATCTTTTCAAGCTGACTCTTTTGTGTAGTCTGTGGCCCTGCCTGTGAAAAAGATACTGGAGCTCACCTCCGCAGGATCCTGGTGCCCTCTCCTGGTAGGAGAACTGCTGGTGCAGCTCAGCTTCACTCATCTCCCTGATGAAGACCTTGAGCAGACAGCGAATCATGAACAGTGCATTGTGGGCCTGCCAGATAAAAAGCTGGCTGTGGAAGAGAAAAACAAAACCAAGACATCTCATGGGCATGCTTCTGGGTGGTTAAAAGATGGATTTGCATTTCATTTAACAAAAAATTACTAGTGGCAGCTTTTCAGCTAAAAATCAGGGCTCTCAGATGACTGAGAGTGAGCCAATAGCAAGTCTTTGCACAGCCTATGGGTGTAACAATAAAAGTATGTATGGCTGAATATTATGCTCATCTGCTACTAGTAAAAGTGATAAATAAGCTCTAAATAGGCATAAAAACTTTGCGAACTCGTAATCTAAGCGTTTCTTGATTAACTCTAACTCCAGCAATGTCGATGAAGCTCAGTCTTTGACACAGTTTTGTCTTTTATACAGCTTTAAACACACTGAACATTTTAAAAGTGTTTCATGTGTATGAGGGCTTTTATTTTTGAAAACTAATCTTTCGCTTCCTGCTTTCCTCAGGTGCCTTGTAGAGCTTGTAGTGGCTTCTGTAAGAACAGACCTGGCACTACTTTAACATCTGTGGAGCGCAGTGACACTTCTGGGCTGATTCTGAAACATCTGGTAAAAATCCATTGATTGTATCCAAACTTAAATGCAAAGTAGCTCTGACTGAAGTATTATCACTGTGACACGACCACAAAGAAGCTGGGGGTGAAGAATTTTTGCATTATGCTCAAAACTAGGCCATAACTTCTCTGATATGCCATTTACAGCTGACATTAAAATGACATGTTTACCTGGATAGTTATCTACACACAATGTGCAAAGGCATCTGAAGGCAGCCAGATCACACCGTTATCAAACCCTAGAAATATGTAAATGCAATCCTTACAGCATGAGCAGATCCTTAAGTGGGGAAAAAACAGTCTGCCCAACATCTGGAAAGCTCTGCTAGTAGGGGAAAACCTCTTTTTTGACAAAGGAAAATTAACTAGAGGAACTTTAGCTGCTTTGTCTCCCTTCATCTGTGATGTGGCACATTTAAGAGGGATTCTATGCCCAACCTAAGGCTCTGGGTTTTGAGAAAGAAGTGTAACTTAACAGGAAGCAACATACTTAATCCCCTTTTTAAAACCTTTTTAAAAGGAATAAACTAAACATATTTTGCATTTAATTATTCCGTTACATGTACCTAGTAACTCCCCAAAACTGCATAAGTTTGAGAAACAAACACGAAAGAAACCACCCACTGCAAGCCAAGTTTCACAACCACTAAAGACCAATACTGAGGTGTATGTCAGTCTCTGCAATTAACTATTTGCACACACCAATTATGTCACACCAAGAAAATGTGGATTTGTGGGACAGACCTGCTATGAAATGTGAGAAAAAGAGAAGAGGAGCAATAACTCCAACTTCTAATGCTGCTCAGCACAGAAGGAAGAGTTCCCACCCAAAACATTTGGTGACTTGGGCAGAGTCGGTCTCTGTGGAAATGGAGCTTTGGCTGTGAGCGCTGATTATTGCCACATACGTATGTTGATAGTTATACCTCTGCAGTTTTTCTCATGGGAAAGTGCAACTACTTCAGCGTTCCTCTCTCTCTCTCTCAAACAATAAGTGGCCTGCACTGAATCCATCACTGACAGTCAGTACTTCCCCTCTGAGGTTCTCATACTCACTCTTGGCATTCTGTAGAGATTTTCAGCTCTTTGGTTCTTCCCAGGAAAATTCTCACCAGAGCGCCAAAGTTCCCCGTTCTCGGATTGTTTTCAACTTGGGGGGGGGGGGGGGACGACACACAAAACTTTATTATTAAAAGCTTTACATAAACTACAGAAACCTCAAAATATGATAATTTAGCATTCAGTAACTTAAATGTTATGATTAAAATTCAAACTCTTGAGAAGTCAGTTTTCTTTGGGACTACTCAGACATATTCTTCCATAAACACGTATTATGTGAAATTATTTATGTAGTAGCTAACATACTGAGGATCTTGGCCAGGGGTATGACAGCTTCTTCCAGTAACTTAGAGTCTCCACTGTGAAACAAAAAAAAAAACAGAAGAGAACAAGTCAGGTTAAAATGGACAGAAGGAGCTGACTGCTTGAGTAACCTTCCCTCTGCTGGAAACTCAAGGTACTACACAACAATAAGATGCAAGTCAACAGGGACAAAAAGAACAAAGTTAAACAAATGTCTGAATAATACATACAACATGCAAAGATACAGAGCATGACTCAGTTATAAATCATGGTTTAGTTAAAGGCACTGGTCGCTCATCTTCTTGTTCTTTTGGATGCTCCCATTGGGGGTCACCAGAGTGGATCATCCTGCTTCCATCTGACCTAAACCAAACACCCTCCTCTGCATGTCCTTCTCCACATCCATGAACCTCCTCTGTGATCTTCCTCTTTTCCTCCTGCCTAGCAGCTCTATATTCAGCATCCTTTGCCAAAGATGTCCACTCTCTGTCCTCTGCACATGTCCAAACCTACAAAACTTAACTTCCCTCCCTGATTTTGTTTACAAAATGCTCAATCTGCGCTGTCCCTCTGTTATACTCATCTCCAACCCTGTCCATCCAGGTCACTACCAATGAAAACCTCCATGCACTGCTACAGCTTTACATTCTCACAGTAGCTCGGTGCTTGGAGAGAAATCCTCCTAGCGCGAATAAACGTACCTGTTTGGAGGCAGAACCTACAGAGAACGGGGCTCTAATGTGATTGGTCACTTTGATGGACACTTCAGGTTACTGTGTTAAACTGAGTTACGATGTAGAACCGAAAGAAACACTGTATTTGTTTACAATATGAAAAATAAGAACGCTTTCCCGATCTTACATAGCTTCTATCATTTAAAAAAAAAAAAAAATCATCATAACGAGAGGCACACATAATTTCTAAGAAGAAGATCAAATTGTTTTATAAAATGTGAACAAATATAAAATAGTTTATTGTTGCTACCAGTTGTACACATCTGGCTACAGGGCTCCACTGTAATAGTTCATCCAGATAATATTTCAGGTTCTTTGAACAGACAGTCTGTGGGGTGGATAGGAGAGTAAGATGTGACAGGCTGTTGTTGGTAGGTAGCTCATTTGTCTGAACTAGTGTCTAACAAACAGTTCAGGTCGTTGCTATGATGCTGTGGAAATCTAAAGGCTCTTATAACTATATTACACAGCATACTTGTAACCGCTATGTGCAAGGTGTCTAATTTTTTTATGCATTGTGGTTATCTCTGTGCCGCTAACCACATGATTAACTTTAGTCATGTCTGTTGTATCCCAAAAGGTTGATTCTGTTCATCTGGATGTTGCGTTTTCAGTGGGAGAAACGTTCCGTCACTCATCCAAGTGACTTCTTCAGTCTCAGCTGACTGCAGGTTTCCCCAATCTTATAAACAGTACATTTGCATAATGCCTGAAACCAGCACCAATGAATGAACAATGGGCTGGGAGGTGAGTTCCTTGATCATTAGTAGGCAAATTCTCATGACCATTGATCAACAACTACTGATCAAAGCACTGATCAAATGTTTCTCCCACTAAAAACGCTACGTCCAGATGAACAGAATCAACTTTTTGGGATTTACTTACCTGGATGATTGAGCATCTGCTTTCTGTTGTCACAATGTTCTAGAAATCATTTTAAGTTTTGTTTGGTAAGTTTATATATTTGTTTGTTTAAATCCTAAAGTTCATAAAGAGACTAGCAAAAACAATATTAAAGAGCCATTTCTCCTCTGTACTTAAACACTGTAGAATTCCAGGCTATGTTTGAAGCACTCCCATCTAGTCACGTATGTGCAGTTACACCCGTTTGCTGCAGACAGAACAACCTTTTGTTGACAGGTTTAAATGTTTGTATTTTGGCCAAACTTACAATTGCCAGATTCTGATGCAAAATTCCTTTCCTGATCATTGTATGACATTTTTGTTTTTAATTTTTTAAATCATAGACGATATGTAATACTGTACAACAGATTAATGGGACAGCAGTGCAGAGGCTTCAGAACTTGCCTTAGAATTCTCTGGTTTAAAATATTTCTTTAACATTACCGGGACAGTTGTCTGTATTTTCACTGCTGCACAGCAAACAGTGACTGTTGATGATTAATTTGACAACTTTATTTGTTTACAATTTGAAAAACAAAGTTTAAAACATTGTTCCGTCACTCAGTGTAACCCAGTAAACTGAAGAGTCCATCAAAGTGACCAGTCACAGGACCCCAGGACCCCCATCCTCCTTTCGGCTCTGCCTTCAGACAGTGAAAGTATAGTAAGTAGCAGAGAGTTACTCACGAGACTGTAAAACTGTAGCAGCATGTAGCAGCACGTCCAAAGCAGACACTCTTGTGTGCACGATGGCTTTTTTGGTGTGCGCAGCTGCTGAGTTTAACGTGCAGGCGCTTCCAGTTCACTCAGATAAACAGTTGTCAATACAGGTGAAGAACAGAAGAAGAGGCAGAGTTTTCTCAGATCATTAGTAATTAAATCATTAGTGGTTTATCTTCCTAATACTTTGAGAAATCTGTCTGTTCTTCTGCTGTATTGACAACCATTCCTGTGAGCAGCTTTAGAGTTGGTGGGAACCTGATTAAGTGTGGTGCCAGACTTGACCATCTTTTACATTAACAATACCCCATACTATTACTCTTAAATGTAACCATGACAACAGCAAACACTTATCCTGACCTACACCTAATTTTACTTTACACCATTTCCTGTTTCTGTGCTATTTTAGCTAGCTGCTGGCTTCAACTACTTATTTATCATGGCACAAAGACAGTGACACTGGCCATCATTCAACTTTCAGAACAAGAGGAAATTGTGCAAAAAGATGTGTGTCCACAAACAATCAGTTTGAAGGTCTCTTGTTTGATCACGTCTCACCATGTGACTTTTTGCGTTTTAAATAATTAAAGATTTATTTCTTTTTGTTTAAAGGCCAAGTGCCTTACACAACTATAGGGTTATAAGCCTTTGAACAAATAACAGAAGTAGAGCCATTAGGGACAGCCAAACCCACTGTTGCAATACTGGAGAAGAATGACACGCATAAAACGCTGCATGAAAGTGCTACATATGTAACCAAGCCATTAGAAAAAGCAACAATGTTCCACTTTCTGAACCTGCAAGTGCTCAATGGGTTCACATGACTTTCATCATTAAAGGGTGAACATGAGGTTTCTTAAAATGTCATACAACAAAATTTGTTAAGAAATCTCTGTGTGTCCTTCTGTAGCAGACACAGCACTCCAAGAGCACTAGTTATTATAAATTGCCATTCAGTAGTTTGATTCAATATAGCAGCAACCTGATATTTTAGCTATTTGTGTTTATCTTATTGAGCAGCAATTAGAGTGTAAGGGCAAATACACACAGGAAGAAACTAACACCAGAAATTTCAATGTTCAAACGGACGACTTGAAGTGATGATTACTCATGACCGACCCCCACTGTCCAAGTATACAGCAAACTGCTGTATACTTGGACAGGGCTCAACTTTTTGCCTTAATACAGACAACACTATTTCTCAGTCTTATTTTAGACAAACACTAAGTATGAATGCAAAATGTTACATGTGCCTTTTGTTTCTGTTACTTGGTAGATACTGTAGCTATATTTATTTTATGAATGGAAAACATCACAACATTAGTAGATTAATATGTAACATCAGTCAATCAGTCATGGTCCACCTGAAAGCGAGAACAAGGTGCCTTTCCTTCTCAGTGCTGTTTACAAAGGAACTAAACGTTAACGGTTAACTGGTCTGATCACAGCCAAGCAGATCAGCAGCCCTGTTAGATCATTGCTCAGGTGATCTCTGCAAACCTCCGGTTTACAGTTTAATCTTAAATCTCGGGTGTAAATCTTAAAAGGACTTTCTAACTAGAAGGCTTTGTTCCCTTGTGGTGGAGGGAACAAACCATTATTAAAAACATCAGGGTATCTAAGGGCTGCAACCCAGGAAAATTCACTTATGTCAATATGAATTTTTCCTCCACTCTGTTTGCCTTCCTGACTTACTGCTTGTTTTGTTGGTTTTGATATGTGAAGGTTTCATCTGAGTGATTTAAAGCGTCACATTGTGTATAAAAGTTATAAAGTACAGTAAAGTGGTGTTTAGATGTCATAGCCTCAATTATTTGGCTTAGCTAATAAATTACTAATTAAGTAATTGAAACGAGCAGAGTGATGCCAAGTAAAAGTTATGTGGACACCTCCCCACACCCGATTGTGTTGCGAGGTGTGGCAATTGTTTATTGGGCTGGCTATGGAACATCCTAGATATGTCTGATGGGACTAATGTGCTAGTAGGGTAGGATGTCATCGGGGATTGTAGTTGCCATGGATGGGTGTAATTGGTTTGCAACAATGTTAATGTGAGTGGTCTTTTTAAAGTAACATAAATGCTTGGAGACAAAGCAGAACACTGCAATGACTGTTTGCGGTTTTAATGTGATGGCTGACAGGTGTATTGAATTTCAGGTGTGTGCCTTAACACAGTGTTCCTTTTTACCTGCTGGTGGGACTGATGAAGGTGAAGGAGATGAGCTGGTTCCAGAAAGGGTCATTCTCCGATATGGACTCTGTGCCCACCAGGGCCTTGAGGCTGGGATTATCGGACAGGTCACTGACCTGACTGGTGTTGGCTCCCATCTTTGCTGGCTGTGCTCAGCCAGACTCGCTGCTCTTCACTGCTTTTTCACCAGGCATATGCCAAAACCTGGGACAAAGAAAATGCTTTAATCTTTGGAGGCACAAACAATAAACAACTGGGCTTCAAATTAACTACAGAGTTAGCAAGTTCATTAAGGTTAATGTGAGAATGAATGAGCTTCTGCTTACATTTATACATCTCCTACACTCAGATCTAAATAGGAATAGACAGAGGCCATCCTTGTCGCTTTGGGCTTTAAGAAACAAGGGCACCAGGGGTGCCAGGGATGACTGTGGTTCAATTGGATAGGTTCGATCCCTGGCTACTGCAGGTTGCATGGGGAAGACACTGAACCCAGAGTTGCATTCACTGGAGTGTAAATGTTTTATTAAAAGCACTTAGACATATAAAATGTGCTTGTATGAATATGTGTGAGTGTGTCTGTGTGTAAAGTTGTGATGACACGTGCTGTATAAAGTGCTCTCAGAGCTTAAGCGCAAGAGTGCTATATACGAGTGAGAGCCAGTCTATATACACTCCTGGTTCTTCATGTTCGTGCATTACAAAACCTGTAAAACAGATCTCACCAACTCAAACACAAACTCATCCTTGAAAGCCAAAGTTCACAGCATCACAGCAGGACGACACACACTGAACCAGGACATGGCTTTTGTTTTTTTTCTGACGACACACCTTAGACACACAGGTGTAGTCAGCATAAGTGAAGTGGAGTACAGTATTTACAATATTTGCAGTGCTAAACCATAAAGGACAATTTTTCTTTCTCCAGCAAGAGCTAAAATTACGTTTTCATATTCATTATATTATTTCAACATTTACTTTAAATGACACTATTTAAATATTTTTTTTAAATCTACTTACACGACGTTAGCTTGACCATACTGATTTCAAGCGCAGGAAATAGCCTGCAGCTTAGCAGTTTTCACAGTAAACAATATAAACTCAAAGTCCCACATAAGAATGAAACAGGCGCTAATAAATTTCTCATTGAGGAGTGCTTTGGTTTAGCCAGTGGTTAATAACGCATATACAGAGAGCAGCCAGCTGACCGCTCAGCTTACCTGTCATAAACGCTTCTCTCAGCTCTCCGCGGCTCTGCCGATTCCCAGGACCGTTCAGGGGCGACTACTGTCTTTTAAAGTGACCTGAAGTTTAGTCCAGTTGATTTATTAAGTACGAATGACAAAGGAAAGGGTCTGAAATTGTTTTGTAATTCAGACAGTTAAGTTTACTCTACATACTCCTTTCCTCCATGTTTTCCACGTAGCCACCCTGTGCGTAATGACGACATATGGGCGTTTACTACATCTTCTTCGTGTGTTCGTCTGGTTGGAAGCTATAGAACTGCTGCCCTCTATTTTTATAACTTCTCTATTTTACATTTTTTTAATAACTAGTGCATGCCCATGCTATCGCATTGTTTCGGCTGTTCGTAAACTAACAGCAAAATATATATTAATAACATAAGATTAAAAAAAAATAATAGTGGCAGTACATGTTGTTTATATGTTTAAAAAAAACCAAACTTTTATTTTAGGCTATTGCTAAGTGATTTTAAGCATATATATTTCGAATTATGGGGTGTCCTGAGGCATCTTGGAAAATTGGCAGCCCGGTCAGCATCATGGTGAACGTGTTTGAATAAGGGGAAGCCAAGTTACACAACAGAACATATGCAGACACAGTAACAAGTCAATAATAGCATTCACTTCACTGGCTTAAATGTGGCTGATCAGTGTAGGGTATATTCCAATACTATAAAGATATTAAATGTTATTAACTATATTTTTCCTTTTTGAGCAATGTGTGACAAAGACAAACGTTTCCCAGCTGCTTCTATGTCTGGAGTAATTCTTGCACTGTACATGCAACACTGTTACTACTGGCAGTACACATAAATGTCAGGTCTAAATTTTTAGTTTATACCTACTTTCGTGTCAAGTTGCTAACATTCTTTCATATTTATTTTAATTATTTCAAAGTTATATGAACAAAACAGCTTTCTTAACAACTCAAATATGAAGAGAACACATTATTCAAAATGAAGAAAAAGCAGCAGAAGCACTTAAGAGGTCTTGTTTATTTTATTCATTATTTATGCTTAAAGTTTAACTTACAAAATCTATGTCCTTCAATACAATAAACAGCTGTATCAATTAATGATTAACAGAAAATATATCAACAAGATGGATGACAAAAATAAAAACAAGCTCCAAATAACAATTGGAAGGTTATAAAATCCAATTAATTCTAAGGTGATTTATAAGTTAATTTATAGTTTCTCTAGAAGAATTAAATATTTACATTGTTTCTGAAGCATTGAATATATTTTGAGGCGTCAGTCTGTCTTCTTATCCGTTGCTATTGTAGATCCATTAGCAGTGGCCTCGCCGTTGCTTTCAGGCTGAAAAACATGAGTGAAATTTTTTTTTTAAACTTCAAATCAAATAACTATGAAACTTATACGTTAAAAATGACACAACACAGAGACCCTTTGAGTGGCTCCTATTAGTTTTACTATCATTTTTAGATATATTCGCTCTATATACCAGAGCTGGGAAATATTTCCATAATTATTTTTAAGTTTCTTAATGAAAACATCACAAAAATTTTCCATTTACTTACCTTGCAAGTCCCATTACTCTTTTCACTAACTTTTTGGTCATTAGCACTGGTCTCCTGCACTGCCTTTTTGCTCCAGAATATATTAATAATGGGTGAAATAAAAGGATAGAGATAAGGCTCCAGGAACCTCTTGTAGACCCACAAGAGGACAGGAATCACAATACAGGGAATGCACACCATAGCTGGTAAAAATGGAAAAACCTACAACAGAGAAAAAATATTGTGAGTTGTAAAAAAAAAAAATACATAGTAAGTTTATGGTTGGTTGTTGAGATATTGCTACAAGGTTCCTGTAGAATGATTTACTAACATTTCATGAATTTATTAACATTTATACAATAATTAAAAAACAAACAAACAAAAACGACAAAAACAAAAACAAAAACCCCACATCAAACAATCCAACATGCACTTTAAAACACGAAAATAAAGCAAAAAACATATTGGTTGAAATGACAGAAATGTGTACATAATTTGAAAAGTAACAGAATCTTGCTTTATAAATAGGTTACACAAATTTAAAAAAGAAATTTATGGCATATTTACAACAATTACTGCCTACGTTAATTTTAAACTCTTCTGGTCTATATACGTTAAAAATGACGGTACTGAGACGTTTATTATTTTGTTTGTTTTATTTATTCTGGCAGCTTGGGTCTTCCACACCGAGCGACCTGTCAGCCATACTGACGTTTTCAAAGCTAACCTGAGCTACCTTAGTTAACGGTGGAAGGAAGCTTTCTTTCACACGACTACACAAATTACTCTGTTCGTGATTTCTGTTGTTGTGTGCTGTAAATTGTTTTTCGATCATTTTTTAACTTGACACAGTTGACACACTATTGGTTTCATGCTCTCTAAGCTCAAATAAAACAGTGAGCTAAAGCTAGCGTCATATCACACCCGGTAGCTTGTTATGAAAAACTGTCACCAAAGTTCAGACAGGAAAATAAAAAGATTTGAACTGTTACACGAGGAAAAAAGAATAAAGACTCTCACCTCTCCCAATCACAAAATGATGTTGTCACGCACTACCGATGGGCAGAGTATGTTTTATGGCGAAATATCTGGAATGTTGCTGACGTAAGACGTACTTTAATCCAACTTCCGTAGAAGAAGAGCGACAGGCGGAAGTTGTTCATCACCGCCTTTCTTCAAAAACAATCACAAGAACTGCTGCGTAACAGCTTTATAAGAGACACGAAGGTAGTTACAGTTTTTCTGGGGAGAATATTTTAAATACATTAATGTATAGGAGTATCTAGATAGTACAAATGTAAATTATATTACCGTTAATTCGTGTTTTACGTCGTTTTAAACTCCAAGCGAGCCACAGTAAAAAAAAAAAAGCTTACAAGCTTAGTACTTCAGTAAAAGCAAAGTGACAGTTCTGTGTGTGTGTGTGTGTGTGTGTGTGTGTGTGTGTGTGTGTGTGTGTGTGTGTGTGTGTGTGTGTGTGTGTTGTAGAATCGACACAAATCACTTTGGCGCATTTACATTCTGTCCGATTTAGAATATAAAAGATACGCCATTCAACAAAGTTTTACCTTCATGCGCATGTGATGTATGATTGGAGCGGCTAATTCGATGTGTTTACCTTTACAGGGACCTCACAGCGGGTATCTGTGCGCCTTTTTTCAGCGCTAAAATGCCTCTCTCCACTCAGTCGCAAGGCGATGACGAACAGTACGTTTTAGTGGCGAATTTGGACAATGCTCGCAATCTCTCCAACATCCTGAAAGCAATCACCTTCAAAGATCACGCCATCTTCACAGCTACAACCAACGGCCTTAAGGTCACAGTGGAGGACTCGAAATGTCTGCAGGCCAATGCCTTCATCCAGGTGTGTTTCTCTTGTATTTTGTCAGTGAACATACTTAAATGAGCAGGTATGTTTACTTTGTGTTTAATCCTATAATACTGATACCTTAGTGAAGTAGTACTCATGTCTCCCAGGCTGAGATCTTCCAAGAGTTCACCATAAGAGAAGATCTGGTGGCTTTTCAGATCAACCTCACTGTTCTCCTTGATTGCCTCAATATATTTGGTGGAACCACAACACCAGGTAAAATTCATAAAAATAAACGAATTTAAAAAAAACCCCCACCTGAGATGGGACTCAACATGCTTTTTATCTGTTTCTTGTGATGCTGCAGGTGTATCAACAGCCTTGCGGATGTGCTACAGGGGGTATGGGTACCCTCTGACGTTGTTCCTGGAGGAAGGTGGTGTAGTGACCGTGTGCAAGATTAACACGCAAGAACCAGAAGAACCGATTGACTTTGAGTTCTGCAGCACTAATGTCACGAACAAGGTTAATTTCACTTTTTCTGTTATTAAAACTGGAATATTAAATATACAAAAAAATCAGATGGGAAACAATAAACCAATGCAAACGAATCAGTTCAGAAATTACAGTTTCTCTGGTTTCCTTACTTTACAAATCCAACGGGCATAACACTATTTGCAGGTGTTAGAAAAACAGGAAACACAACTCAGTAACAACTGATGTATCCCTGGCTCTTTTGTAGGTGATCTTGCAGTCAGAGAGTTTGAAGGAAGCCTTCTCTGAACTGGACATGACTAGTGAAGTGCTACAGATTACCATGTCCCCCAGCCAACCATACTTCAGGTGTGCTGTCCTTACTGTACTTTTTCTACAGTGTCGTGCTGGTTTATGATTACGTTGCTGACCTTAAAAAAAAAATCACTGTGTTTAAAATGACTGTAAAGTCCTTTACACACCAAGAGCATTGGGGGGGGGGGGGGGGACAGATGAAATTCAGAATTTAGTATACAACATATGTAAACACTGAAATGGTAGAAACAGAGACTCTAGGTTCAGAGCAACAGGGAGAATTTTGCAGTTTCATTCAGAAGTTGAAGCTGAATCACGACCGCTTATGTATGTACATCTTTCCAGATGTCATTAGGGTAGTTTGAATTCTTGTGGGCAGAGTTAGGATCACATCTGAGGGGGCAGAGAAGTCATTTTGTAGAACTGATTGTGTTTCTGTATTGAAATTGTGTTGTTTACTTTTGCTGCATCACCAGTTTTCAGTACCGGTGTGTGTTTTAAGCTACAAGTAGACTTTTGCTACCAAATGCAGTGGTTTGATTGGCAGATCTCTTTATTCTCGTTCTGAAAATTGAAAAATATCGGAGTCCGAAAAACATTTTCAACGCACAAAATCTTCAAATTAATTCTTTTTATAAGTCTGGTGTGTAAAGCTCTTAAAAGAAAAATCACTGACGATATCCACTGGGAAAAGTATTTGGGATTAGACATAATCCACTTCTGGGAAACTAAGTCTTCTTAACGGTAAAGTTGAGGCATGTTTTATGCTGGATTGTATCGATCTGATTGAAGCTAACACTAAATATAATGTATAGCTAAGCTAAAGGTAGGCACAGGGACTTTCTTCAAGGATTTGTTGTAACAAAATAGATCTTTTTCCTGTCATTCATTATCAGCGTGCTGAGGTAGTTTGCAGTCTAACTTTGCCCCCTCTGCATTATTTTTGAAAGTGCTGCTCTTTTTACCTTTCATTTATATTATTATTATTTGATTTGTTGATTTTCTAAGGTTGTCAACGTTTGGGAATGCTGGAAATGCTCATTATGATTACTCCAAAGACTCGGACATGATGGAGCTGTTTAAGTGCACCGAGACACAAACGAACAGGTTAGCACACGAACACATGCGCAGATTATTTAGACTGTAGAGAACACAAACTAGCCATAGGTGGACTGGGAGGACAGGAAGCACCAACACAGCGACTAAAACCAAATGTCATACACAGTAGAGAATGACATAGCAGAAAATGTGTGATCTTTATCTCGCTGTAAAGTCAGTCACGACTGTCTGTGACTGACTTTACTCTCATTTTCAGTCTTGACCCTTTTACATGCCTGTTCACGCATGGTTGCCAGGCAGGTAACTCTGATCATAATGTGAAAAAGTTGAAGATGTTGACATGAATAAATCCAAATATTAAAAAGTTATAACCAAATATACACATCTTTCCTTTGAGAGTCATAAAATTAGTATATCTGTTCAGTCACTGTGTCAAATATACCCTTGGACAACAAAGTTGATCAGATTCTCCAGCATCAGTCGGGTAATGCCAACAAACTAGACTGTAAATGATGACCTCCAGCAATGGTAGAAGTCATTTTTAATGAAACATAAGAAATGCTGGAATATATTTGTATTAAACTGTTGTTTAGCATTTTATTTTCTTTAAATCTAGTTTGTTTTATTTGATTGTAATTCTGAGCATTTTGTGGCTTATGTTTTGGGAAAATAATAATAACCAAAGGGCAGTGATAATATTTTTTATTATTAACAAACTAAGCTTTGAAAATATTGACACTCACTTGTGTGCACACACTAATAACTAGTGCCAATGTCCTTAACCTAAGTATGAACTCGGATAGGTATACACTCACCTTGTAGGCGCTCTAGAAATTCCTGGAATTGGAAATACTTCACTCAAGTAGACTCCCATGGTTTGACCTTGTGTTGTATACTTGTGTGCAAACTGTAATTGCCAGCATGGCTCCTAACCAGAGGTCTGGCCACAGGACGTTGCAGCACCTGCATGCAGGTGTTTAGGATTATAATCATTTCCCCGGTGACTCTTCGTCCCCTTTACATCTCCTTAAAAGCAGACTTGTTATAACTTATGTAATAGAGCTTGTTAACTGGATACATTTGACTTGTAACTGAATAAAAAGCACAGAAAAATAATGACATTTACAACTGCAACTGGATATGCTGACACTAATGAGTCAGCACTCCTGGATCCAGTGTTAAGTGTTTTCTTGGTCTTTCTATCGTATCATGTTAAAAATCTCTGCAAGAGAAATAGTTTAGGCATAGTTTCAGCGTATCCCCGTGTAATGCTTTGTTTGTATTCTGTCTGCAAACAGATACAAGATGTCCCTCCTGAAGCCGTCCACCAAAGCCTTGGCTTTGTCCTGTAAAGTCTCCGTCAGGACAGACAACCGGGGCTTCCTCTCTCTGCAGTACCTGGTCAGGAACGACGACGGACAGATCTGCTTCGTAGAATATTACTGCTGTCCCGATGAGGAGGTGGAAGAGAACTGAGAACACCAGATTCAAATCTGACTTGTAATAAGCACCTTAACTACACACCGGAGTCCAGTTTGCCAGAGGAGGCAGGTATGGAGAAAATGCCGGACTTGTAATGGGCACAGTGGAGTAAACAGAAAATGAACTGATTCATCATTTGCCAGATTTGAGAGATGTTCTTATGCTCTCTATGATTACGCCACACGTCATAATCAGAGCTCGATGTGCTGCAGGAGTATACAGAGGCATGTTCGATGTGTGTTCAAGTACTCTATTGATTACTATGGTGACTCAGCTGTTTTCAGTCATAAGTCTCACAATTTGTGAATGTTACTCCTGAATTTGAGTCTACTTGTTAAATGCAGCTCTCTTTATATTTGCATATCAGAGCTCGTCTTTTGACATATGCTTCCAGATGGCTGACAGCCTGTAAAACAGGACACATTAGACCCAGCTCACTGATCTAAAACAACTAGACAGTGATCTAAAACAACACCTATTCTACCTATTTTGAATAGGTGTGATTTCTCTTAAGCTGTGGACACACTTCCTCCAAGTCTATGCTGACACTATTCCAAAAGCCTTTTATGGAGTATACATCACAGGATACAGAGATCAAGTTGGTATTTTATTTCTATGACATAGAAAAGAGTTTTTACTCCAACTCAATAAACATTACATCAAGAAAAACTTGTTTATTAGAAAAAGAAGAAAGGAGTTCATAAACTGGGGCAACAAAACATGATGCATATTTTCCCAAGGACTGTTTCTAATACTGTACTTGAGTCCTGACTGTGTGGTGACATTCCCATATTTTTACTGAATAATGGCAGCAGCATTCACTCAGCTTATTGCAGTCCATCCAGTTACCTGCGTGCCATCTGCATCCTTTGTCTTTTGAAAGCTTTTTGTTTTTTCTTCACCACTTTCGTCTCAGGCGCTTCCGTCTGAATGTCAGCGGGCTTTTCCTCAGCCGGTGTCAGGAAGACATCCGCTGTAACGTCACTTTCCAGGTCCTCCTTCGCAGACGTCTTCTTTCCTTTCTGCATCTCCTTTACCATCTGCTTCTCTCGCACTTTGGCTGCCGCTGCCAGTCGCATCTCTCTCCGGTGCTGCAGGAGCATACAGAGAGATGTTCGATGTAAGAACATTAGTATATCAGGAACATTAATTGTAACTTCAGCTATCGTGCAATGGATTTTTACCATGTTAGGAGAACGGAAGTCTGGGTTTTCATAGAGCGTAGGCCCCCCAAAGCTCCCCTGAAAGATCTTCATGAGGTTAAGAACAAAGCGAGGCCCAATCTCCACTAGAGAGCCATCTTCCTCAATGATCTGAACACAGCCAGAGGAAAATAAGAAATATTTCATTCGGAATCTGCTCAAGCCAGGGATAAAATATCAAATGAAATTTAGAAAAGTATGGCAGAAGAGTACCTGGTAGTTTCGAAACCAAATCCTGTTGTCTGCAATGGTGAAGGTGAAAACATGGTCCACAAAAGGCTGACTCTTAGGATGGTAGCGTGGGGTGGAAAAGGTCTACAACAGAAAAAATGAATGAGTTCAGTCAGAAAATACAATTTGTTCAACTCTTCAAGAAAAAAATGTTTAAAAAAAAAAATCACATCTGCTCCGTTCTTACAGTAAAAACATGATATGTAATCGGACTTTAGACTGAAAGTGTCAAAAACTGCAATCAGTTTACATTCACGCTGTCCTGGAAACGCACCTGGATGAAGAGCTCTTTCAGTAAAGCATAGTGAGGCTCCTTATCGAATTTCTGTTGAAGAAAATAAAGAGTAAAAATAAAAACTTCAGCTCTTGCTCAGGCGTTTTTTCTTAAATTCAACTTAAACACAAAAAAACTTTCACTATTCAGATCACAGGCCGAGAATTTTATATCAGAGCGAAGACATTGTGCAGAGTTTTGTGACGCTATTTGTAGGGATGGGAATTGAGAACCAGTTTATGTAGAAAACCGATTCCCAGAAGTCCAATTCCTTGGAATTGTTATTCTGCCTTTCTATCGATCGCTCTTATTGGTTCCTGCACGGTTCACCTGTCCGAGGAGGAAAGTGGCGACGCAGTCTGGAGCGTGGATATGGACACTTACTTTTATTGCACAAAAGACTGAGATAAATGGTTAAGTGGAAAACTGGACAGAAAAAACTGCATTATGCTGCTAACACAACTTCGGCACTTGTGTGGTCTGCTTTGTATTCTCCAAGAGAAAGATCTTAGTGTTCTCATTAGGGACTTGTGTTAGTGTGTGGGGTTGTAGCCTCAGGTTTATATTGTTAAATAGTGTGTTTCAGCTAAGTTATAGAGGAACATGAAAGTAATGTAACGAGTACTGTAAGGAATTATTTTTCCAGGGAGTAATTAAGTAACGTGTTCTGTGTAATATGTCTAACATGTTCTGTGTAACCTGCTCAAACATTTAACCCACAGCATGCAGTTAATTTGCATGAAGGTAATTTCTATATTGCTTCTTAGCAACTGTGGTGACTTTCAAAACGGACCCAATGACAATCGATAAGTAATCAAATCGATAAATGATATTGATCTTGGAATCGCTAAATTCTTACCAATTCCCATCCCTATTTCCTTGACTACACTAAACCATAAATATCTGATGTGGTGTTGATGAGACTCATAGTGCAACAAATTCGGAATAAAGACATACTGATTATAAACTAACAGCAAGTCTAATTTATTACTCCCGGCTTTATGACCCAGTTCTACTCACAGGATCAAACGAGAGCAGCGGCCTGGATCCTTTGAGGCAGTTTCCTGTCAGTTTGAGTTCGGCCAGTGTGTGAACTGTCAAAGAGGAGGGGCAATGCAATTATTTTTCCCAACGTATAACAAATGATTGCTGCATTTGAGGGCTTTGGTGGCGAAATAACTTACTGTTCTGGACTAGGAACTTTGCAGAAGGGCCATGGGGGCTGTTTGAAATCCTACAGGACAAGAACATGACTGAACTTAGTTCAGATTGGCTCTCCTATGAGTCTGATGTACACGAGATGTAATACCAATGAAATTCTCACCACATGTAGAGGTCCTGCTTCTTCTTGGCCTCAAAATAGAGGCACTTGTTGCAGTTTTTGATCTCACAAACCTGCCAAACAAATGACTTTATTCTCCTGGATGCTTTACATATGTTATGTAAGAGTAAACTAAGATGTTAAACAGCAAACTTACCTCGTTTATGACAAACAGCTTATCCTTTCTGTCCATTTTTGTGTCTAAGCACAAGATTTGTGGGTTAGTAAGGTAAGACAGATAACACAGGTGTTTGTGTGAAGCAATGCTGTAGGTCAGTGCTACATGACACTAACCTGCCTTTGCATGAGGCATCATGGTCCTCAGGTCCTGCATCAGGTGTCTGGTTCTGAAGTTGATCCCTCTGGAGGAGAAAATCAGAACTCTTTCCTTGTTGGTCCATTTGCCCTGTTAAAAACAGTTTAGCTCAGAACATTGAACTAAAACAAATACCAGTTTGCAATTTCAGTCTTAAAATGCAACAAAAGCAAAGAAACAGCGTTCTTCTACTACGGTTCAGAACAGATATGGGTCTGCCCGGGAGTTTTTCCCTGTCTGCGGAAGGCTGTTGGTCCATTGTTTACCTCAGCTGTCAATTCTAGGTAAGAGGGATCCACATTTATTCAATCTGGAAGAGACCGTCAAACTTTGTGGAAGTAGTACAGGTCAGTGACCTTTGACCTCCATACTGAGGTGAGTTATTGAGGATATGCTGAACCTTTCTGTTGGTAAAAGCTGCTGTTTTGATGCTTTGTGAATAAACCCTCCGATGTAAGCAAACTGCTTATTACAGCAAAACCTTTTTGGGACACTGAGTCTACTTTATAGCCAAGTGCTGTTGTTGTTTAGCCAGTGACTATGAGTAACAGCAACAACATCAGGAACAAATTAGCATGTTGTTTCCATGTACAAAAGCACTGGTTTGAGGTGAGGATAACGAGGATGACGTTTTCTTAAAATGCTGGTGAGCTTCTCTCTTTTCCTTTGCATTTTTGTTTCTTTGATGAAGGGGACCCCTTCTCCACAACCATAAAACACAAGCATAATCCTTCAAGTCTTGAGTCTGAAGACGAAGGCACGAATTTAAATTAGCCTCATAGTTCGAGTTCTACGAGTTCTCTTCCTTTGGTGTTTTACACATGTAGCCAAGCTTCAGCCTCACATGTAAAATGCGAGTAGGTGGAAATGTCCTTCCCGGTGTTCCAGATCAACTGGTGTTTAGATCAACTGGCGTTGGTCGAACAGATGTGTGGCAGTCTTGCGTTTCAGTAGCTCCTACCGACAAACCAGCAAAAAAAACGGCAAATGTGTCATCTGTGACACTTGTGAGATTATCTCAAACACACTCCGTCAGTCTTGATGCTGTTGAACAACAAAATGTTTAAAATGTGGCGAGTTTATCTGGTGATATCCTCATGCGCGACGCGATCGCGAAAACAGCAAACAAGTAACACCACGCCGATGTTGTTCACAGGACAGCAAGAGTAAACGATCGGGAGACTCTTGTCGTCGTTATCGTTCCCCTCGCACGGTTTATTTCTCCGGTTTCAGCGTTTTTGCTTCACAACTAAAGCGAGCAGTTTACTTTGTGTGCACTAACATGGACTCGAGTCAACCAGCGCCACCTCTGGCCAAGTGCCACAGCCTACAGCCAGATCAACCTGTGACACACATCTGCACCACGTTTGATTTCGTTTCTTGCACAACACATTTGTACCTTTCAGTTGTGTCTGTTTGTGCGTCATGCAAATGAACCTTTGAAAAGAATGAAATGACACCAATATTTCACTAGTGTTGTAACATCACATGTCGTTAGCGTAGTCTGTCTGTGTCTTTTCTCTGAGAAAAAACATTTTAGAGTTGGTTGTTATATACAGTCTGCATAAGTGTGGTTAATCTAATAAACATTTGTAAGGAGATGGCAGTTACTGTGAATGTACCGCAGGTGAATAGTAATAAACAGTCAGACAATGACTCTGACAATCTCATTCAATCTTGCAGACTGAATGCACCTTCTGTGGAAAGTGGTACCACACAGTGTGTGTGGACTTTCCCTGTGCAGAAGGCGACTACAAATGTTGTGGGTGCTAAATAAACAGTAAAAAGTGATCCCTGTTGTCTTTGCTTACTGATTGTTTTTAGTGTTGACAATCCACATTGCTGCCATTGCATCTTTCAACATGTTTGTGGGTAGATTTGAATGTACCAGGGGTAAGTGCAGCCACTCAGCCTCTACTCAATGTCATCATAGCAGCAGGTGAAGATGTGTCACAAGTTAATCTAGTAGTGGGCTATGGTATTTGGCCACAGATGGCAGCAGTGGACTGACCTCCATTTGAAACTGCTCTAGCTGCTGTGTGATAGTGGATCTGCTACAAATTGAAGATCATAGGCAAGTTTTGGAAATGAACCCTTGTATTATGTTGAAGAACAAAAAAATGACATTGATTTTGTTGCGGGTCAC